TTTAAAATACCCATTTTATCAATTTGTAGAAAAATGTTTTGAATAGTGATATTTAGAAAAATGTGTGGTTAAAAAGTATTAAAATTTTTTTGGTATACGCGTAAAATATTTTATTACATGAATGTGTTGTTGAAAATAATTTCAAAATAAACCATAAAAAATATTAATGTGTATCAAATGAGCACAAAACGATAATTAATTTTTTCCTTTCATTGTACCCTTGTTTGGGCTTCGTTAAAAATATATTAAAATATCGAAGTTTGAGAAAATTTCCAGAATTCATGTCATAATTCAAAGTTTTTATATTAAAATAGATAGAAAATAGATGATAATTGACCAATATAAGATAATAATGTAACCTTAAGTAGTGGTTATTGAGGTTTGTCTCCAACCATTATTGTAGTAAAAAGAGTTTTGAATAGTAGGAAAAAATGTAATTAAAATTTTTTCCTCTCATTGTGCCCTTGTTCGGGCTTCATTAAAAATGTATTTTGGGAAAGAATATATTTTTAAATAGTAATATTTTGGAGAATGTATGATTAATTAAAAAAATCGATTTACGTTTAATATTATTTTATTGAAAAATATGTTATTGAAAATAGGAAAAAGTAGGGTTGGGCAAAACTCTTGAACCGAACTGAATCGAATCGAACGATTTTTCTTAAATTAAATATCCGAACGGGTATATGAATTGAGAACCGATGAATTCAGTTTGGTTCTCGGTTCTAGATCAAGAATTAAATAATCGAATCTCCCCATTTTTTTAATTAATCTATTTTAAATAAGCCAAATCTTTTTTTCTCTAAATAAATTTACTAACTAGTTAATTTAATTCAAACCCAAAAATATAATTTTCCTATTTCTTATTTTTAGTCAAAACTCAACTTAATCATATTGACATAAGTTTTACCCAAATTTATTATTCTACTGTAATGCTGTTTATACTATTATGAAGAAATTGAATTGAAACTCGACGATTCCTTTCTTAATTATTATAAACTCGTTATCGTCCTCTTCATGTGATTATAAGAATCAAATCTATGAAAAATTCAACAAAGAACCTGGGAACTGAACCCGAACGGTCATTAGTTGAATTAATGTAATTTTCTAATTATTAAAAAAAAATTATAATACAAAACCTGGGAACTGAACCCAAACGATTTCATAATTAAATTTGGACCCTACGGTTCCACTTACCAAATATCCGAAAATTTATGGTCCTATTTGAGTCTCATTAGAACCAACCAAATCGGACCATGCTCACCCCTAGGAAAAAGAGAAATATATTTTTTTGACAATGGAGCCCAAACAGGGGCTAATTTTTCCTTTGAAAAAGAGGTCAGACAATTAGTATATTCACCTTTTTAATTCTTTTGAAAATAAGGAAAAAATAAATCGGTTCCTCTATGGATTTATAAATTCATCCATATGGGACATCTTCAAAGGAGACACCAAAATGCACCAAATTTTAGTGCAAAATGTCTCCAATTGTGCAAAGTCAAATTTACCGTTTGTTCTCATTTCCTAACAATTGATTGAGTGTACTTGTATTATTTGTATTATATATTTTTTAATGCGATAAATTATTACTATTATTATTAAAATAAATTTTAATAATGTGAACAAAGTCAATGAAGTTAATATTTTCATTAATTGTACTATATTTTTTATATTTATTAATAAATTTAATATTTTCGTTAATGTAATATAATTATTTATTTAGTAATCTATGTAGTTGTAGAATAAATAAAAAAATGATTCTTCAAATAAATAAAATGAAGAAAATAATTAAACACTGTTTATTTGACGTAAGTTTTGGTATAATGGTTGAAAATGATTTTTAGATTAATGCGAGATTTGGTGTAGGATTAAAGATAATTTAAGGTCATAACCTCCATTATTCATATTACAATAAAAAATTGTTTTGTCTTACGGCGATGATTAACAATTTTTGTGTGATCGTGATTGTTGTTACGTTAAAAAAGAAAAAGAAAATGAAAAACTCTTATTTTACATCCACAACAAATAACTGATTTATTGCAATTTTGGACATAAAAATATACTTTTATATAAAAAAAACAAAAATATTTTTTAACAATTTACTTGACATGAAAAAAAAAAAAAAAAAAAAAAAAAAAAAAAAAATTGACACTTGATAAAAAAAAAAAAATCCAAAAATGCGGATCTTGATATATTGGAACGAATCATAAATCAATAATACACAACTCATCAATCTACAGGACACGCAATTTAGTTGAAAGAATCAACTGAAAAGTAAGCTGAGAACTAATCGTATGCCTGTGCAAGGCACAAGCTTTATTCCTTTTTAAGGTAATGTTAGTGTATCGAGCGTCAAGGATTGACAAAAAATATGCGGTGTGGATTAGATTAGCAAAATGAATTAATTTTATGAAGTAAATTGGCACGACACAAAAGTCACACACAAACGCACAGATAAAAAGATAATTAAGGAGAAGAGACAATGACTTAAGCCTAACTAAAACTTGAGGAAGGATTTTACTACTGCAATGAATCTTGCACAATTTAGTATATGCAACACAACAGATTTCACATGAGAAGATGAATGCAGCATTTACAAATTGAAGTATAAGAACAAACTTTAAAGAAAAATGAAGGGAATGACCAGTAGTGAGGTTATGTATGTATTTTGAATCTAACCTCTTCATAAATGATTATCACATATCTGCATGAAAACAAAGTAAATGAGGTTACCAGAGATGGGTTTCTATTAGCAATCATGATGCTCAGTCCATTTCCAAGCTTCAAAAGCAAAATCATTAACTGTATTTTCAGTTTCAACCTAAATGGTGGAATAGTATTTTTTTGAAAAACGAGTAATTGAAAAAGAATGATAAATTTTTGATTTACATGTAATATTATTTTATGGAAGATTGTGTGATTCAAAATAGAAGAGAGAGAAATGAAATGTAATGGAATGATAAATTAATGGGGACCAAACAGGGGCTAAGATTTACTTTTCACGAAACAAGTAGTCGATAATCGGATTTTATATATATACATACGTGATAGAATTCATCATTTAAATTACAATGCTTCGAATTTCAAATCATGATATCTCCGTATTCAATATGGTTAGAGAAAAATAAAGTGAACTTGAAATGTCATGATCGATCCTACCATATGTGCATATATGACTATCTATCGAAATGAAAATATTTGTAATAGTGTTTTTTTAAAAATAAGTGATTGAAAAATAAAGAAAATTTTTTGATTTATGTATAATATTATTTTATGGAAGATTGTGTGGTTGAAAATAAGATAGAGAAAAATGAGCGATTGAAAAATAAAGAAAAAATTTTGATTTACGTATAATATTATTTTATGGAAGATTGCGTGGTTGAAAATAAGATAGAGAAAAATGAAATGTAATGAAATTAAAATTAATGAGGACCAAACGGGGGCTAAGACTTACTTTTCAAAAAACAAGTAGCANNNNATAATAGAATTCATCATTTAAATTATGATGCTTCGAATTTGGAACAATTCGAATCACGATATTTCAGAATTCGATATGGTTAGAGAAAAATAAAGTGAACTTGAAATGTCATGATCGATCCTACCATATGTGCATATATGACTATCATACCGAAATGTTTCTTGAATAAGCATGAATTTTATTAAGCCCCTGTTTGGCCCCCATTACGGGGAAAATTTAATGTATAGAATAGTGTTTTTTGAAAAATGAGTGGTTGAAAAAGAAAGAAAAATTTTCGATTTACGTGTAATATTATTTTATGGAAGATTGTGTGGTTGAAAATAGGAGAGAGAAAAATAAAATGTAATGTAATGTAATGTAATGAAAATCAAACAAGGGCTAAGCCCTCATTTGACCTCTATTATTTAAAATTTTAATGGGTGAAAGAGTTTTTTGAATGGTTGGTTAAAAAAAAAGAATTTTTTTTTATTTACGTATAATATTATTTTATTAAAATTTGTTTGATTGAAAATAGGAGAGAGAAAAATAAAATTTGATCTAATGTGGTCAAATGAGGGCTTAACGTGTGATTAAAATTAATTTTGAACTTTGAAAAAGTGGGAATTAAAGGAAAACAAAAGAAAGCCATAAGTCAGAAACACATCAACATCATTTATCAAAAATCAATGTGCCACCTGTATTACCTTTTTTTTCTATTATTTGGGCGAGCAGCTGTCGTCTTAGATTAAGCTAATCAGCGTGGCTTGATACGCGCTTACTAAAATGTATTAATCTAAATGAAACAATTACAGCACTGGTAATCAACCTTTGATACTTATAACAAATTAGTCCTCAGCCTTTTAAATATGAATGAACAGTTATTTAGTTTTATTAAATATTACGTGATTTCTCTTTATTTTCAATTAAAATGACACATTACCTTTCACACTCAACTTCTCTGCTCATTCACCATTTAAATTTTCACAAACTCTTTTCATTCTTTTAAGCCCTAGGGATCAATCGATAGAGTTAAGGAGTAGGGAGAGTTATTTATTGTTATCTTGATTAAAAATAAGGTCAAATTCATGATTTTAGCCCCCCCTCCCCCCCACACACAAAAAAAAAGGAATAAACAGAGACTTTATGAGGTCCAAGGCTGTAACTGATCGAGAGATCAGGGGCATAAATGTTCAGATTTGAATATTGGTGGTTAAATTGGTATAAGGTAGAGAGTTGGGTCCAAGGCTGAAACTCTCCTCTCTATATTGCTACTGTTGAGGAAGAGCGAGAGAGAGTTGAAGAATTCCTTTCTTAGAGAGACCGTGAGAGCAACATTTTTCTAATTCCACCCCAAGCGAAAATCTTTTATATAAAAAATATTATATTCCCAACTTGTATTTGAAACCTGAAGCATTCATTCATTCATTCAATCATCAAATTTTATGGTGCCCGAATAGACTTCTTTTGAATTCTCGTTTCTAAACTGTGATCGTGAAGCGTCATCATAAAAAAACTTCAAATCCATGGAAGAACAAGAGAGAGAGGCTTTCTTTTCAAAGAACACGGCACTTTCTTCATCAGAACATTCAAATCATGAATCCCCTATCGAATTGAAGAGTTACAGTTCAGGTCTCAAATGGGTATTTCTTGATTATTCTAGTCTATGGCAAGCTGGGCTTTCATGGTCAATCTTTTTTCTGCTTAATATCGGCGTTCCACTTGTATCCCACTTTCTTTTCTCTTGTTCAAACTGTGATGCGAAGCACCAGAGACCTTATGATACGATCGTGCAATTATCTCTTTCGGTATTTACTGCACTTTCTTTCATTAGTCTTTCTACTTTTGGGCGTAAATATGGCGTCCGAAAATTTCTGTTCCTTGATAAAGTGGCTTATGAGAGTGATAAAGTTCGAGAAGGATATACTCAGCAACTCCATGTAAGCTTTTGCATCCCTTTTCCTGATTTTCATTTTTATTATATGGTAATTCATTTCGTATCGATTTTGAGAAAATATGGCACAGAAAATGTTAGAGAAATATACACCTTTAAATAAAAATAGTCTTTATTTGAATCACGGATATTTTGTGTTAGTGGACGAAGATTAAGGAACCAGCTAGTTTCGCTACTTTTTCGACCATAGAAATATTTTATTGAATGCCCAGCTGGCCAAAAGACTAGGTTTTCTAGTTGAGATACCTGGTGAAATGAATCTGATCTAATTCCTTCTAATTCATTCCTCAGATTTTAATTATGCTTACGGATTTATTTCTCAACAGATAATGCGTTGAGGATCAAAATTTCATCAACCAAATAAAAATAACTCCTCAACTTTCTTTTTGACACCTCATCGATGTATAAAAGATTATGTAAATGCTGATGTAAGTATTTTCCTTCTTTAAAACGGGGGAATATTGAATGTTACTGTGACCTTTTGTGTTTTCCTTTACTTTTAGATTTTTTAACCTGCAGGGAGAGGATAATTCAATAATTTATAGAGATTTTCTTTAGTATAGTCAACTTATTTTGCATTTTTATGCCTAACTTCATTTAGAACTTGTTGAGTTTGATATGAACTAATGATCCATATAGCAAAGTCATTAGAGGGTTACTAATGATCCAATCAACTAAATGTTATGGGGATCATTAGATTTTGTTCCAAGTTTTTAGCATACTAAACTTGCTTTAATCTAAGTCTGCTCAGCATTCAAGCAAGATCATCTGATTTGTCTTTATTTCTTATTTTATCCCCCAACTGGAGAAGCATATTTGTTTTATGTCATAACATTTTACTGTTTGATTTCTGCAGAGATCACTGAAGCTTCTATCTGCTTTTGTTCTCCCCTGTTTTCTCGCAGATAGTGCTTATAAAATATGGTGGTTCGCCTCAGGTGGAACCCAAATTCCCTATTTGTACAATATCTACATTAGCAAAATCGTAATGTGCATATTGTTGATGAGTTCATGGCTATATCGTACATCCATTTGCTTTCTGGTGTGTGTCATTTTCCGGCTCACCTGTTATCTGCAAATACTAAGGCTGGAAGAGTTTGCTCAGGTTTTCAATAAAGAATCTGATGTTGCTACTATCTTGTTAGAACATCTCAGGATCAGAAAGAACCTTCGTGTTATAAGCCATCGTTTTAGAGTATTCATTTTGTCGACTCTGATTCTTGTGACGGTGAGTCAGTTCGCTTCCTTGCTCATCACGACTGAACCTAGCTCCCCAGTTGACATTTTCACAGCAGGAGAACTTGCGGTAATTAACATCCATTCCTTTATGTATCACAAGCTTTGTTCCTGTTGATTAATAAGTAGCTGCTGAATAAATGCAGAATCGAATTTTTCAATATCTTTTATTATCTTCTGGCTCTTATTTGCACTACAATCACCGTCATACTAGATATGAGGCATTTTCATGTATGTAAATATTAGTTTTATGTGTTAATATTTGATGATGACAATTCTGACTCCATTTTCACTTGAATCGCTGCAAAAGGATAAGAGGCTGAAAGGCAATGATGAAGTAACCTGTCATTCCCACCCATTTCCCACACCGTACTAACCCCTCGATGCGCTGGGATGCTTATTATTTCACTTTGAGCCTTGATCAACTTAAGCACAAAGTTTATCGGTCACTAGGCTTTTTAGTTTGTTTATCCTTAATAACTGTCTTATAGAGGTTTTTTGATGCGTGAAAACATTGTAAAAGGAGTCCCTGGCACTCAAGCAAGTTAGTCGAAATACTTGTCCACCTAATGATAGTCTAATACTGTAATATGTAATACCATGCATGCTCAGTACTATTGTCTCCAAAACATGTTTTAATTCTTCGTAATGAGTAACCTTATGATGATTGCCCTATATACATTGCTCGACTAACTAATCTCGTGTCTTTTTATTGAGTAACCTAAATATAATTATGCCAATCCATATAAAATATTTCCACCGCTGTTGTATACTTTGTGTAACAATTCTGCCTCTATGCCCAAGTAGTTAATTTACGTATTGTCCACTCTAGAAGAGCCTAAGCTCATCTTACCCTTCACAGATTTCTATCCCATTCCCAGGATTCGAATCTCTGACCTTTCACTTAAGTAAGACTTAAGTTGAATCTTGTGCCAATTGGACAAGTAACACATCAAACATTATACTAGATTTGAGGCATATTCATGGATGTAAAAACTAGTTTTACGTGTTAATATTTGATGATGACAATTGTGACACCATTTTTACTTGAATCGCTGCAAAAGGATAAGAAAGGCTGAAAGGCAGCGATGGAAGTCACCTGTCATTCCCACTCATTTCCCACACTGTACTAGCTCCTCGATGCACCAGGATGCTTATTATTTCACTTTGAGCCTTGTTCGAGTTAAGTACAAGGATTTGAGTTTGTTTATCCTCAATAACCGTGTTAGAGAGATTTTTTGATGTGTGAAAACATTGTAAAAGGAGTCTCTGACCCTCGAGCAAGTTAGTCAAAATACTTGTCCATTGAATGATGATCTAATAATACCAAGCATGTTCAGTACTACTGTCTCCAAAACATGCTTTAATTCTTTGTAATGAGTAACTTTATGATGATAATGCCATATATATGTTGCTTGACTGACTTCTCATATCATTTTATTGCAGTTATCATTACTCGACTAACTAATCTCATAACATTATATTGAGTAACCTAACTATGATTATGCCAGTCCATACAAAATATTTCCACCTCTACTGTATACATTGCCTGACTAACTAATCTTGTATAACTTTGTTGCAGTTATGCTCCATCACCTTGGTAACAGGGCTTTTTATATGCTTGCGTAGCGCAGCTAAGATCACACACAAAGCGCAGGGTGTTACATCTCTTGCAGCTAAGTGGCATGCTTCTGCTACTATGGAGACCTTTGATGGTTTGGATGATGAAACTCCTACAGCCCAGATTGCTTCAGCCCGGGCGACATATTGTGCTACTGCCGATTGGGATACAGATAATGAAGAAGGAGATGGAGATGATGAGTTGGATAATAAAAACGTGGTGCCAGCTCATGCAAATACTGTATCGTACCAGAAGAGACAAGCCTTAGGTAAGTATCAGCAATCTAAAAAGTTAAAATGGTCATAGATCTTCAAATACGCACCTCATGCGGCTGATTATGGTTGCAAATTTGTGCAGTGACATATTTTGAGCACAACAGAGCAGGAATTACAGTGTACGGGTTTATGCTGGATAGGACGTGGCTCCATACCATTGTTGCAATTCAGCTTTCTCTTTTTTACTTGAATCGCTGCAAAAGGATAAGAAAGGCTGAAAGGCAGCGATGGAAGTCACCTGTCATTCCCACTCATTTCCCACACTGTACTAGCTCCTCGATGCACCAGGATGCTTATTATTTCACTTTGAGCCTTGTTCGAGTTAAGTACAACGATTTGAGTTTGTTTATCCTCAATAACTGTGTTAGAGAGGTTTTTTGATGTGTGAAAACATTGTAAAAGGAGTCTCTGACCCTCGAGCAAGTTAGTCAAAATACTTGTCCATTGAATGATGATCTAATAATACCAAGCATGTTCAGTACTACTGTCTCCAAAACATGCTTTAATTCTTTGTAATGAGTAACTTTATGATGATAATGCCATATATATGTTGCTTGACTGACTTCTCATATCATTTTATTGCAGTTATCATTACTCGACTAACTAATCTCATAACATTATATTGAGTAACCTAACTATGATTATGCCAGTCCATACAAAATATTTCCACCTCTACTGTATACATTGCCTGACTAACTAATCTTGTATAACTTTGTTGCAGTTATGCTCCATCACCTTGGTAACAGGGCTTTTTATATGCTTGCGTAGCGCAGCTAAGATCACACACAAAGCGCAGGGTGTTACATCTCTTGCAGCTAAGTGGCATGCTTCTGCTACTATGGAGACCTTTGATGGTTTGGATGATGAAACTCCTACAGCCCAGATTGCTTCAGCCCGGGCGACATATTGTGCTACTGCCGATTGGGATACAGATAATGAAGAAGGAGATGGAGATGATGAGTTGGATAATAAAAACGTGGTGCCAGCTCATGCAAATACTGTATCGTACCAGAAGAGACAAGCCTTAGGTAAGTATCAGCAATCTAAAAAGTTAAAATGGTCATAGATCTTCAAATACGCACCTCATGCGGCTGATTATGGTTGCAAATTTGTGCAGTGACATATTTTGAGCACAACAGAGCAGGAATTACAGTGTACGGGTTTATGCTGGATAGGACGTGGCTCCATACCATTGTTGCAATTCAGCTTTCTCTTACACTCTGGATATTGAACAAGACAATTGGTATTTCGTGATTTTACTTGGTCTTCCAGTCTTTAATGAGGTTCAATCCTCTCTGAACGAGGTTATTTGAAATAATTTGGTATTGTATTAATGTTATTATTATTATTGCCTGACAGAGTTACCAACCTTTTGTGAGTTAATTTTAAATTTATATAGATCGTAATAGGTATTCTGTTGTATACAAATTACGCGAGCTTCTGTTAGGTACCTGGCAAATAAATGTATGTACATTCTTCTTCAAGAAGACTTTTAAGGTCAAAAGTTATGCAGATACGTGTACATTTCAAGTTGATTTTTTGATAAGTAATTTTGTGAGAAGTGGTTTCTTGGAGAACCTAGTCGACCAACCTATGTTTACACCACAACACAAGATGACACATCATTCAACGTTTCAAATTGGATCCTATTGGTAAATTTAATCGGTAGCGTATGGAATGGAATCGGGTTCTCATAGACCGTATTTATGTTTTAGACAACGAATTCACACTTATCGTATTTGACAATTACTTATCGTATATGGCAGTGCAATTCACCGTATTTGGTAGTGCAACTCACCGTATTTGCAATTCACCGTATTTGTCAGTTTACCGTGTATGCTAGTTAGCTCACTGTATATAACAGTGACGTAACAGCAGAGTTTTCACACTTTATGATAACTTAAACAACATGGATTTTGGACAAATTGTTTGTGTTCATAAAATAATTTAAATAACACAGAACTTGAATTTTCACAAACACGATTTCATATCCCGGTTCGTATATACAAATATTATCTGATTAAAACAAATTAAACTACTTGAATAAGAATGGTAAATTATATAATTTGCAGAAACATAAAAGCAGTATAAATTTCAGAAAGTTAAATAGAATCTGAAAGCATGCTAAAATAAATTTGGAAGGCTTATAATTCTGCAAATAATTAAAGCACTGGTATTTAAACTGGAAGCATATAAATTTGGAAATAAACTTTTAACCCGAGGCCCGTGTAAATACAATTTCCTAAAAACAGATTCACTCCCTCACTGTAAGTGCTTGAAGTCTAGCCCGAGCGTCTGTTTCCCAAGATACAACGGCAAAACCAGTAAAGTCTGAGCACCACAGAAACTACTCCGACGAATTGAGTTTGTGTTCGAACAATATCACCCCAAAATTATACTGGACAGAGACCGAGATGCAAATAGGAAGCGAAAATATGCAGAATGTTTTCCTCCTATTTTCATGTGGTTTTTTGTGTGTTTTGGAAGTGCTGGAAAGTGGCAATTTATATAAGTTTAAACCTGCCTATTAACTCCATAACAATAAATAATGGAGTTGTTTCAATTTCTGGGAGTTTTGGCAGTTTCAGGAAACTCAAAGGTCAGTTGAAGAAAGCAAAAAATTGCAAAACGTGGACACTTCAAACGGGCCAATTTTTTCTCCATTTGGTCCGACATTCGTGTACGCATACAAGTTTAAGGTCCGAAGGCAATTTCGGTCCGTGATTTGCACTCCCTGCGTGTGCACGTGGAGAGAGCCTCTATGCTACACATGATTATACCATTCCAATGTGCAATCTTATATAAAGTGGTTAATACTTTCTTTATTTTTCTATGTGGAACTAGACTTATTTTTCCACATAAACCATCTTCCAATGGTTATCTTTGAGCTCCAATTTCTCATTTATCCATTCATCAATTTGGCAAATAAATATATAGTTTCGATACTTTCATGGAGGAAAACAAGGATCAACTTTGATATTTCAAATTGGACCAACGGATCCCACCGAAAATTTTGCAAAGTGAGTCAATTCACTCATTTTTCCAACAGATCATTCTTTTCTTCAAAGGAAAGAATCAAAGATGGAATCATGCTGATTCTAGAAATGTCTTTCTATATACTTGTCAATGTTTTGACTATTCATGAAAATTAAAATGCAGATATTCAATCATTTCCATATGTAAAAGCGTAAAGAGGTGGAAAACATTCAGTTTTTAATTGTCCTTGTATTTTTTTATTTTTGGTCAACTATGACATCATTTAATCGTCCTAATTTTTCATGCATTAATTTATTTTTCAGACTTATAATCTTTAATCCATTATAATTTGTAAGTTGATCTTGGTAATAATATTTCCATTTGTTGTATTAATGGTTAAACCCTATTTCATAAATCAATATATGTTTTTGTATCACTAATTTTTAAACATGGTTCTCATTTTTCAGCCAATTGGACTTCAAATGAAATATAATTTATATATAATTCATGATAATTTATAATATAATGTTAAATAATATGATTACTTCTGTGTAAATATGTTTTTTTTTTTTCAAAAACCAATAATATATACTAATATTTTCAATTAATTATTGAATATGTCCTTTTGATTTACCTTCTTTAAAAAGAAAAAATTGAAAATTCTTGTATTGAGAAAATGAAATTCATATAGATGGATTCAAAAGATAATGGGGGAAAATGTAACGCCATTGGTGTTGACCTTTTTTTTTTTGAATTTCTTTCAAAATTTTAAATTATTTGTCTTATAGGTTACAAAGTTGTCATTAAAGCCCCATTTGACCCTTATTAAATTAAATTTCATTTTTCTCTCTCATATTTCAATTACACAATCTTCCATAAAATAATATTATATCTAAATCGAAATTTTTTTCTTCTTTTTAAATTACCCATTCTTAAAAAGAAAAAAACAACTATTTCACCCATTTTAATTTCAAAAAATGGGGCCCAAATGGGGGCTAAAAATAATCAATTAACTCCATCATAATATTTTTCTACATTAATTTATTACTCTTAATCTCAAGAAAGAGAATGAGGTCGTTTGAGTGTTCATTCTAACTCAATGTTGCATCTATTACATTTTGTGAACTACTGATAGGAATGTGTTGATTGAAATTTCAGGTGCATTTGATAGGGTCATAATGGCTCCCAGAACAAGTTATTTTCATAACTAATGAGAACTAAGCACTACTGATGTATCTATTTCATCATTGAATGGCAAAGAAACTCTCAATCACTAAATAAATAATTGGAGAATGGTGTCTATCTTTAATCATTAAATGATAAAGAGACTCATAATCAATAAATAAAAAATTGGAGAACAATAAAAGGCAAGCTTATGCTGGTGACCTCTATTGCAATTTGAAGGGATGATCGACCAAGTACGACCCAAGTGGTCTAATGAGATAAATAATAGTAGTGAAGTTGTTTTAGTACTCACGATAATCAATGAGCTAATAAATCATTCTTAATAGAGGTCTGTTTGGGAGCGATTTTTCCTTCCAAAAATTTGATTTTTTGATCGTTATTTCACTATTTCAGCCGTCATATTTGACTTCTTATTTCACAAGTGGAACCACACTTTTCTTCTAACGGTCAAAAATCAATTCTCAAAATCATTTCCAAACAAGCTCTAGATGAGTTTTGACACCATCATCAGATTGGCCTATAAATAATACTAGTCAATCTCCTTTTCATATTGTCAAAGGATCGGTTGAAATGTACAAGAAGCAGACGTTGGTTTAGCTAAAGAAAGTTGATAAAAATCAGAGGCAAAGTAAAATGGAAATAATTTCAGCCTATGTTTGATAAAAATAAAAATAAAAATTTAAATTTAAATTTAAATCAAAGTCAATGATTAGTTTTAATAATATATTTTGCCGGGTTCATAACTTTTCAACCGTCTATTTTATCAATTTACATCAAAATCTATTAAAAATTTATCCCCTTCTGATTTCCATTTTTTTAAGAATTCCTTACTTTCTAATCACATATTTTTAAAAAAAAATCACTATTTCATAATGTATTTTATCTCAAAAATGGAAATAAAACGGGGTTTAATTTTAATCTTACAAGTGCTTCATCACATAGATGTTAACAAAATCGAAACCAAACGGGACGAAGTAATTTTTTTCCCCAATTTGGTGGATATGGGGTGCATCGTATGCTTCGATATTTACAATGGTTGACTGGTGTGAATCTCAAGAAAATTGCATCGAAGGGTTCAAATTTAAGAATTATGATTTCCTACTCAGCATAATACTGTCAGCAAGTTCTTCTGCACAATACCACTGTTCTCCCCGTTGGCAGATTACAAATTTCGAATTTTTGTCTGAAACTAATTGTAAAGAAAAGAAAGAAAGCAAATGGAGAAGATTGGGAAGAGATTTGAAGGGAAGGTGGCTGTAGTCACGGCTTCGACCCAGGGCATCGGCTTCGGCATCGCGGAACGACTCGGCTTGGAAGGTGCCTCCGTTGTTATCTCCTCCCGCAGACAAGTATGCTCCAATTTCTGATTTGCTTAATTTTGGATAATTCATCCTCTAGGTCTAGGGTTTCTTACCCGCCATCAATTTTTATTTAATGGATCTTTGATAGATCTTGATGTTTGAATGTATTTGTGAAGATATCAGTGCTTAATTAACCCGGATATCTTGAATTTCGCTAACTCCATTTTTTTTAAAAAAAAAAATATTGTACTCATGTGTTTTTGAGGGATTTTGCAGAAAAATGTAGATGCAGCAGTAGATAAACTTAAGGCTCGAGGAATTGAAGCGTTCGGGGTAGTTTGCCATGTGTCAAATGCTCAGCAAAGAAAGGATTTGATAGAACAAACTCTTCAGGTATTAAAATAAAATAGTGTTACTATCTTTATTCATTTTTATCTCATTTTAGCTGAAATATGGAAATAATTATTCTTTTCTTAGAGAAAGCAATCTGGGCTTATTAGTCCTCACCACTGCTGGTTTCTTTTTGTAAATGCCTTTGATTTTCCCTTTCTTTTTTCTGGCATCTTCAGTGCGATGTATTGGGTAGTACTGACCGTGTTAAAAAAGTAACTTAAATCTTGTTCATTATAATACTTTTCAGTGCTGCGTATCCGCCGCATTCTTAAGTGCGCAGGATGATTAATTTGGTTTTCTTTGTCTTCATTTTGTTGTTGGGGTCGTCATTTAATGTTCCCAAGATCATATTTGTTGTAATGGACTTATGACCTTTGCCTACTATGATACTGCCCGTCTCATGTAAAATGTTGAGTCATTAGAGAGGACGCAATTTTTTTAACTTAAAATTGTATCTTCAACAAAGTGTACAAGTAATATGATATTTTGCAGTAAGATCTGTCCATTTAAGGTAATGTGTTTCAGTAAGGTAATTCGCGGCATCAAGACCTCAAACTTTGTTTTGTTTGATCTTGTTCTAATGTACCCTAATTGTTGTTTACGTTATTTCGACAATATATTTTCCATCCAGGTTCTGTTTGTTTCTTGCTTCAAGACCTTGTATTATACCAAACTCTTATAAGGCAATTGTATTTTATTTCCTGGTGACATGATTTAATTTGCCAAAACTTGTATCCCTCGTTGATGTCTGGTTTGTGCAATTACAAACTTGGACTTGTAATTTGGATGACATAATTAGGCTGAAACATGAGTTATCTTATTTGTGAACCTTACTCATATTTTTATTGCACCTTCATAGTCATCTTCACTCCTTTGCAGAGATATGGGAAAATAGATGTGGTCGTGTCAAATGCTGCTGCCAACCCGGCTGTGGATTCCATTTTGGAAACAAAAGAATCAGTCCTTGATAAATTATGGGAGATCAATGTGAAAGCCTCTGTACTTCTTCTACAAGTAAGTCTCACTACATGATTAAGTTCCAAGTAGTACATAACAGGTCGTAGAGGACATCAGGGGCATACAATCCATGGTTCTTGGTAAACGCAATCTTTTTCTTTCGACCTTGTTTTGAATTTATGCTATTCTTTTGCATGGAGGGCTGGATAGCATTGGACCGTTTTGAGGAAGAAAGAGAAGCTAAAATCTTGTTTATTATATTATCGAGTCCAATCTTACATACCAAAGATATTCTTAATGTTAGATTGTTGTAGCTTTATGTTTTTGATTGTGCATTCCTGCTGTGTGACAGGAGGCAGCTCCTCACTTGAAGAAGGGTTCATCCGTTGTTCTCATTTCTTCCATAGCTGCTTACCATCCACCTGCAGCCTTGGCTATGTATGGGGTGACCAAAACAGCCCTGCTTGGGCTTACCAAGGTACCTATCTTTCTGTCGATCTCTTTTTTAAGCAACTTTGTATCTTATTTGACTTTGCAATTTTTTTTTTTTTTTTTAAGGCACACTTGCAGCCGAGATGGCCCCAAATACACGTGTAAATTGTGTTGCACCTGGTTTTGTTCCAACACATTTTGCCTCATTCCTCACAACAGATGAAAGCATGGTAAGCTCTCAGTAACATCATTTTCCATCTTAACACTTATCTGATTAGAGGTGTGAATTGGGCCTTCCGGTACATGGAAGCATGGTAAGGCCAGGCATAAGCTAGTTTACACCTCTAGATCAAGTTCACGCACATACATGACATTTTGGTGCTGTTTGCAGAAGAAGGGTCTTGAGGAGAAAACACTGCTCAATAGGCTTGGAACCACGCAAGACATGGCTGCAGCAGCTGCGTATTTGGCTTCTGATGATGCTTCTTACGTTACTGGAGAAATTTTGGTAGTTGCTGGAGGAATGCCTTCGAGACTGTAATTTCTTCGAATCTGAAGCTATGAACCTTTCCGTGACAACATATACATAAAAACCTTACTTGTGTACTCGATGTCTATCACAGCTCCAAATAAAACATTTGCCTATAAGTTAGAAGAAGGCACCAAGATTCCGTCCAACAACCCTTGTGACATTTAGGGCATGTTGGTCATGCAGTGTTAGACCAGAACAAACAATATGCTGAACAAGACTTCGATTTCCATTTCACTTTGTAATACGTTGCAGTGTTGGTCTATCAACCTTGACAAGCATGAAATCTTCATGGTATTATGTCATGGATCAGCTGTTAATTATTGTGGTTTATCATATTCTTTCCAATAATTTTCAGTACTATATCTTTCACCAAGAACTGAGTTTCCTGTATTCTATGAATTCATGGGATTCTAGAGTTTGAAATAAACACCATTATATAGCAGTGTCATTTTGATTTGTTGAATACAACGTTGTACAAGTCTTTACTATGTAGACGTTGAAGAATCTATAACAGATTTTGAAAAGATCGAAATGTGGCCCCTTTTTCACTTTGCTCGGTATAAGAGTTATATCCTTTTAACTTTTTTGGATATATTCTTATCATCAACTTTTCATTAATGAGTACATACCGTCTTCGATAACAATTTTGTCCAAGAAATCCACTGGGATGCAAAATGATTTATCTTTTTTTTTTTTTCCACCATATTTTTTAAAATTATAAATGCAAAACTGAGAGAATTTTTTTACCCTCATGCAAACAAACAAAATATTTTGACTTAAACCATCATCAAGAATTGGATACATTAATTAATGAAATGTTTGAGATAAAAATTTCGCGAAAAATAAGTTAGTGAATATTGCAATTAACAAAGTTTGAGAACTCAAGTGCTTCAAATGTGGTACAGTATATAAAAATAATGGTGTGTATATAATTATTTTATATTTCTTCAATTATTTATTAAAGTACTACAATAACCATAGTTAATAAAATTTATTCATTTTTGATTATTTATTTTACAATTTTATAAAACTTGACATTTCATAAATATAAATTTTTCACACAGTTATATAATTTTACTGAGTCCATTATGTTATAATATTTTTTGATAATATTAAATATTGTTATCAAAGTAAAAATAAGGTTTATAATGCTATCTATTAGTAAATCGATTTTGTTACCAATGTTAAAAATGCCGTTTGAAACAAAAAGCTTACGGTTTACCAAACATTTAACCTCATTCTTATTTTCAGCAAGGTAAAAATTTGTCCCTTAAAATGACAACAATTACGACATTAAGTTAACCCTCAGAAGTAGTGTAGTGGTTAGGTTTTGGGTTTGCTCTTCAATGGTCACTAGTTCGAGTCATCTCAGGGCCACTAAGGTGAGTATTCGACTGTAAACTTTATAACCCCGTAGAATTAGTCGAGGTGCGCGTAAATTGACCCGAACACCTACGGTCATAAAAAAGAAAAAAGAAAAAAAGAAAAAAACGACATTACGTGACCCTACCTAACTTTTCCTATCTAGAAAGCTGGTTAACTTCTTGTGCCCATCCCATACAGCAAACCACACTGAGAAAATGTATTTCTTTTCTTCCTATTTTATTTGAATTTAAAAGACAAATTCATCCTTTTCCATCTAGTTAACAATTATTTTGGGCAGAAATCGTTAAAAAGGACACCAATAGTCAAAAATGAATGGCTGACTGCAAAATAAATAGAATAATACTATTTGACCATATCAGCGTTGATCACCCATCTATGTGACATTAAATATCATCGCTTCATTATACCAATTAATAAAAACGTGTTATTTTATCAAATAATCCCGTAACATAGACCTTTTGAGATGATGCATTAAATTGTTTTGATCACAAATACGTTATCAAACAACCCTTTTCCATCCCTATATATTCCAATAATGTCCAAATATGAATCCCATGCACAAAAATAATGGTGAAATTCAAGATTATTCTTAGCGTTTTCATTGAAGCCTTGCCGATGTTTGAGAGTGACCAGAGAAGCGGTAAACGGTATATAACATTTCCTGAATGGAGTCCCAATCTCCCCAATGGACCAAAACAAGAGGCAAATCCTTATACCAGAGGCTGCTAGGTGGTTACGCGGTGCCGACCCAACGCTGCAAAAGAAATCATTGATAATAACAAGTTAACATGAATTGTTGAATTCTCTGGTCTAATCAAGAGATGTGATATATCTTGTTTGTTGAAGCATTAAGGTTTAATTGTATTTATTGCTTTATATTTGACTTCTGTTAATAATCCCCTAATTGTTAGGGTGAGTTGTTAGTGCATTAGTATTTGAATTGGTCTAGACCACTAGCCACATTTTTAGGAGTGTTCGACGTGGAGTTTGTTTTCTGTTTTCTTTGTAAAAGGCTTATATAAAGCCACCGTTTATTGAATAAAAGAAAGCTTCATCTCCCAAACACAGTGAGTTATTCAACAGTTTAGTGACTGACTTAACAAGTGGTATAGGAGCCACCATCACGGGGGCCTGATTGAGAGTTCTAAGAATCTACAGTTCTTTAAGAGAGAAGTTAGCAAATCATGGCGACGGAGAACAACAGCTTTGTTCAGCCGGCGATTCCACGATTCGATGGTCATTACGATCATTGGGCTATGCTCATGGAGAATTTTCTCAGATCAAAGGAGTATTGGGACTTGATTGAAAACGAGATACTTGTAGCAGCAGAAGTGGCAATAGAGGCGCAGTGTAAGACCATTACTGATCTGAAACTGAAAGATTTAAAGGTCAAGAACTATCTATTCCAAGCTATAGATAAAACTATTATTGAGACCATTCTCAATAAGGAGACTGCGAAGGCCATCTGGGATTCAATGAGACTGAAGTATCAATACTCTACGAAGGTGAAACGTGCTCAGCTACAGGCTTTAAGAAGGGAGTTCGAGATTCTTAGCATGAGGGAGGGTGAAAAAGTGGATGAATACTTTGCCAGGACACTAACCCTTGCAAATAAGATGAAAACACATGGAGAAAACATGAAGCAGAGTGTGATCATTGAGAAAATCTTGACATCGATGACTCTCAAGTTCAATTATGTTGTGTGTTCAATAGAAGAGTCCAATGACCTCTCTACCATGACAATAGATGAGCTTTAGAGCAGCCTCTTAGTCCACGAACAGAGGATGCACGAACAAAAGGAGGAAGAACATGTTTTAAACATCACTAATTCAGAGACGGGTAGAAGAAGAGATAAATACAAAGTTGAAGGGAGAAGAAGAGCTCGTGGGAGTTTTAGAGGAAGAGGTCGAGGCAAGGGAAGGTAGCTTTTCAATAAAGCTCTTGTGGAATGCTTCAAGTGCTACAAATTAGGTCACTTTCAATATGAATGCCCTAGTTTGAGGAACGATGCAAACTATGCTGAGTTGGATAAGATGAGGAGATGCTATTAATGTCTTACGTCAAGATGATCAACTCAACAAAGAAAAATGTTGGTTTTTCGATTCTGGGTGCAGCAACCACATGTGTGGTACCAAGGAATTTTTCTCAGATCTTGATGAAAGGTTCAGGCAGTCTGTGAGGCTTGGAGACAATTCAAAGATGATGGTGATGGGGAAAGAAAATATCAGACTTCAAGTGGGTGGCATGACTCAGGTAATCACCGAAGTTTATTTCGCGCCTGAGTTAAAGAATAATCTTTTGAACATTGGCCAACTGCAAGAAAAAGGTTTTGCCATTCTAATTCAAAATGGGATGTGCAATCTTTATCGTCCAATGAGAGGATTAATTATGCAGTCCATAATGTCAGCAAATAGGATGTTCATTGTGTTGGCTTCAGTGATGCCTCAAGCTACAACATGCTTTCAAACTGTGACTGAAGACAACTCGCATTTGTGGCACAGTAGATTTGGACATCTCAATTTCAAGGGACTGAGAACTCTTATTAACAAGAAAATGGTGAGAGGACTACCAGTTCTCAAAGCTCCATTAAAGGTGTGTTCTGACTGCACGGTGGAGAAGCAACACCGATAAGTAATTCCCAAGATGAGCCTATGGAGAGCCTCACAATGTCTTCAATTGGTTCATGCCGATATCTGCAGACCCATCAAGCCCGAATCACATAGTCACAAAAGGTACTTAATCAACTTTATTAATGACTATAGTAGGAAGACCTGGGTTTATTTCTTATCAAAAAAGTCTGAGGCATTTAATGTGTCTAAGAAGTTCAAAGGACTCGTTGAAAGGGAAACTAGTAATCTTATTTGCTATCTACTTACTGATAGAGGTGGAGAATTCACCTCGTTGGAGTTTAATCGATGCAATGAAAATGTAATAGCCAGGCAGCTTACTACCGCTTCCACACCCCCAACACAATGGAGTGATAGAGAGAAAAAATCGCACCACCATGAACATGGTACGTAGCATGCTATCAGAGAAACAGATTCCTAAGGAGTTTTAGCCTGAAGCTGTTAATTGGACGATACATATATTGAATCGGAGTCCAACCCCAGTTGTGAAGGAAGTAACACCTGAAGAGGCCTGGAGTGGTAACGAACCTACTGTGCATTATTTTAGAGCATTTGGATGTGTAGCTCATGTACATATTCCAGACAGTCGAAGATCAAAGTTGGATGATAAGAGTGAGAAATGTGTCTTGTTGTGTGTAAGTGGGGAGTCGAAAGCCTATAGGCTACACAATCTAGTTTCAAAGAAAGTGGTAATTAGTAGGGATATGGTATTTATTGAAGATGAGACTGGGATTGGGGAAGAAGCACTGATGAGTTGAAAGCTAATGTATTAGAGTGGGGTGTTGAAGAAGAAAACAAGAATCAAGAAGATCAAACCGAATAATGTGTGAATGCTGAAAATGAGGAAGTAGAAGAATGAGGAGGTATCAATTCTCCATCTGACGAATCAAATGAAGAAGGTTCTTTGAGTCCAGTTCAAGGGAGGAACCAGAAGAGAGCTTTCTTGGATGCAAGATTATGTGTCAGGTGAAGGTTTATTCGAGGAAGATGAGATTGAAAATTTGATGATGTTCATTGCTTCTGAAGACCCCGCATCTTTTGAAGAAACTATCAAGAGTTCAAAGTGGAGAGAAGCCATGAAATTGGAGATCAAAGCTATCGAAGAGAATGGGATCTGGGAGTTAACAACATTACCAAAAGGAGCAAAGAAATTAGGGGTGAAATGAGTGTATTAAACCAAGCTTAACGAGAAGGGTGAGGTGGACAAGTTTAAGGCTCGCCTTGTGGCAAAGGGTTACTCACAGTAGCATGGTATCGATTACAATGAGGTGTTTGCTCCGATGGCAAGATGGGATATTATCAGAGTAATTCTCGCCCTTGCAGCACAAAAGGGTTGGTGTGTGTATCAATTAGACGTGAAAAGTGCGTTCTTGCATGGAGAATTAAATGAGGCTATGTTTGTCAATCAACCACAAGGGTTTGAAAGAAAAGGAGAAGAACACAAGGTTTACAAACTTAGAAGAGCATTGTACGTACTCAAGCAAGCTCCTCGAGCTTGGTATAGCAGAATTGAAGGTTATTTCATTAAAGAGGGTTTTGAGAAATGCTACTGTAAGCACACATTGTTTGTGAAAACTGAAGATGGAGGTAGGATTCTCATTGTGAGCCTTTACACAGATGATTTGATTTTTATTGGAAACAATGAGGATATGTTTGTGAGATTTAAGGAGTCAATAAAGAAGGGATTTGCCATGTCTGATCTTGGTAAAATGAAGTATTTTCTTGGTGTAAAAGTCATATAGAATTAGCATGGAATATATATCAATCAGAAGAAGTATACACATGAAGTGTTGGAGAGGTTTGGAATGCTGAATAGCAATTCGGTGAAGAATCCAATCGTTCCAGGGTTCAGATTGTCAGAAAATGGAGGAGGAGTTGCTGTAGATATAACAATGTTCAAGTAAATGATAGGCAGCCTCATGTACCTAACTATTACAAGGCCGGACTAGATGTATTCTATTTGTTTGATTAGTAGATATATGAAGAGGCCTACTGAAATACACTTGCAAGCTGCCAAAAGAGTCCTAAGATATTTGAAGGGAACGATTGAGCTAGGAATTGCTTATAAAAGAGATGGAGAAGAATAACTGGTAGGGTTTGCTGATAGTGATTATGCAGGAGACATTGATGATAGGAAAAACACTTCTGAATACACTTTCATGCTTAGAACTGGAGCAGTTTCATGGTCTTCGAAGATGCAACTAGTTGTGACCCTGTCCACTACAGAGGTCGAATTCATTGCAGCAGCATATTGTGCATGCCAAGGAGTTTGGTTGAGGAGAGTTCTTGAGAAGCTGAGACATACTCAAGTAAGTGTACAACAATTTATTGTGATAACAGTTCGGCCATAAAACTATAAAAAAATCCAATCATGCATGGGAGGAGAAAAACATATAGATGTGAAATTTCATTTTTTGCGTGACTTGACAAAGGAGGAAACTGTTGAACTGGTGCACTGCAGCAAACAAGAACAACTTTCTGATATTATGACAAAGCCTCTCAAATTGGATGTGTTCTTGAGGTTGTGTGATAAGCTTGGTATGCGTTCGAAGTTAGAGTAAACTAATTGCATTTTTGCAATTTAGTTTAAGGGAGGATATGTTGAAGCATTAAGGTTTAATTGTATTTATGCTTTATATTTGACTTCTGTTAATAATCTCCTAATTGTTGGGGTGAGTTGTTAGTGCTAATTAGTATTTGAATTGGTCTAGACCTCTTGCCACGTTTTTAGGAGTGTTCAACGTGGAGTTTGTTTTCTGTTTTCTTTGTAAGGCTTATATAAAGCCAATGTTTATTGAATAAAAGTAAGCTTCATCTCCCAAACACCATGAGTTATTCAACAGTTTAGTGAGTGATTTAACATTGTTGAAGATAAATCAAATTTATATTTAATATTTTCTTTCTTGACGTTTTGTAAAAGAGATTAATGATTTAAGATTGATTTTGTGTGTATAGAAATGCTTAGCTCATGTATCATATATGTTTATATACAAATTTTGTGGCTTCTTGAGGAAGAATAGCCCTTTATATGTATGTATGTATTTGTGTGTGTATATGCATTTTGAATACATTAGTCTGTAGACTATAGGTACACGAAAGTAATCACAGAACTCATACAGGATTTCAAAACTGGTGACGTGGCAGAGGAACAAGATCTAAACTTTAAAATAACAAATAAATGGAATTTTGCTGACAGCTTGATGTACAGCCCTCTCACAAAAGAGGGGGCCTGCATCCAATAAAGAAATCACAGCCCCCAACTCGAGTAGCAAAGCCGCAAATAAATGAACCAAACTGGGTTAACCTAAACAAAATCGTGAATTGATAAAGTTTCGGTACCATCTCCCCCAAAATATAGAGTTTGGGAACCCTTGCCACTCAGCTTTCTTCATCTCCGACCAAAGTTGCTCCTCCATCTCCGGCAAACATCCGACTAACTGATTGGCACGTACTTTCGACCATAGTGTGAAGACGAAAGCCCATCGCACCCTAACATCAAAATCGTACTTGAAGATGACTACAAGAAACCTAGATGATGAAAAAGGGCATTTTACTTCTTGGTTCTAAATTGGTTAGCTCATAAATTGGTTTCTTGCTTGAATTGTATTCTTCATTGACTACTTTATTCTATCTTTTCATGGAGATGGAACTTGTAAGATGTTGGTGTAAATTTGTAAATCTGTGAGAAATTTGAAAGGGGAAGAAATGAGAAACCTGGTCGGATTCGAAGGTAATTTTGTTGGTCTTATGACAATGAGAAAGCTGGAGAGAGAGAATTTCTGAGCATATGGATTTAGTTGTGTAACTTATGATACTATTTTTTTTCCATGTCAAGCATGTTAATTAATGTTAGTAGCAGAATTTTGCTCTTGCTTACATATAATTTGTAGGAAAAGAAATTATGAAAGATGAGAATCAAAATTTGTTGCTGACATGTGATAACGAAAACATACTGGACAATTTGAACATATTGGAGAACTAAAATCTAGGAAGAGATGTTGTGATTGAGCTTGTGGTGAGTGTGATGTTTAACAGTGAGAAAGAAACGTTGGACTTCTACAAAAGATTTGCTAACCCCGTAAGTTTCTAGTGAGGAAACAAAATTCGAAAAAGGGGAATGATGAAATTATGAGATATGTGACATTTTCGGAGAAGTTATGCTCATGTGGTTCTTTGAAGCCGTAACCAACAAATAAGACAAATTGTAAAGCAAGAATATCTGTATTTTCATATAGTCTCGAAATATGGAGAATTAACGAAGTGTACATCGGGCACAATCATAAAACAAGTCTTCCAAGCTAGGTTGTATCGATGTAACTGAAAATTGAGTGGAAGTGGGAAACAAGAGCTTGAAGTGAATGATATGACACAAATTCACTTGCATAAGAGTTATAACTCCGCAGTTGTGGCGGCAAACGGACATGAAAATATAACATTCGTGGAGAAGGATTGTCGGAACTATATCAAACAAGTAAGATCATTATGAATTGGAGAAAGAGATGCCACTGCAATACAGGTGTACTTTTCAAAGAAGTAAGAAAGGTCCTCGAAATTTTACTTCGATATGGACTTAGACGACGAGTCAATACTAAAGAATGTATTTTGGGCAGATAATAAGTACGATATGCCGTTCGTCTTTTTTGTTGGCGTGAATCATCAAAGACAATCGAAACTGTTTGGTTGTGATTGTTATCGAATGAGGACCCATGGACTTTTGTGTGACTGTTCAGAACATGTTTACACAACTTGAGTACATGCATGGTAAAACTCCCAATGGATTAATTACTAATCAAGACAGTGTAGTGCAAAATACAATCGACATTGTTTTCCCATTTATGAAGTATATATTGTGCTTTGAAATATCCACAGTCATTATTATATGTGAAGAACAATCGCCATTTGTTTCTAGTATCCCATTCGACCTCAAAAAAATTTTGAAATTTGTGTTTACGCCAAAGACATTCACGTTTTGTTTGACATTGTCCAAAGTAGAGTGTTACTTCTACAACTGTGACAAACTCCAAAATTATTTCCTCTAATTCTAATTGACAACCGTTGAATAAAAAATTAAAGCCACATGAATGCAATTGAATAATGAAATCCATTGCAACTTATGTTCACATAGACATAAATGGTCATGGATGACTCTGTCAAATTGAACAAATCATAACCAACTTTAAATCTTGACAATAAATGCTCCATTTCATATGAAATAACTGGATCAAGAGCGAACAAGTGCAACAATGAGGCATCTAAATTAAATTAGAGACAAAATGACTTGGATATCCACAAATAGAAAAGAAAGTTAACTAATTTACATTAGCACTGGAGGATGCAGGTCCGTTTGGCTATAAAGGGAGGTGAGTACAACATTGGAGATGGAGGTGAGTATGGTGCGGGGGCTGTAAAGAAAGGACCTAATTTTGTGTGTGGCAAAATAATGGGATAGAAATGCTTGCGATGTATGCTCTTTGTTGGGGTCAGCCGACGAAGATGGTAAGCACAACTCTTGATTTTGCTTTGAGTGGGAGCTTAGGGCAAGAGATTGAGACCGATGATTTGGGGAAATGGGAATTTCATTTCATTTTGAAGTCCATTATCACTTCATGGTTTTGTTTAGGTTAGCTCGACTTTGGTACTTTCATTTGTTATTTTAAAGTTTGGATCTTGTTCCTCTACCACATCACCAATTTTGTATTCCTATAAGAGTTATGTGATTAATTTTGTGTACGTGTAGACCAATTGTTTTGAATAATTTTATTTGTATTTAATGAAGTTGCATAATGATTTACAAATCGATGAGGTGGATTTTTTTTTTTTATTTCGTTGAAATTTTTTTGACTCAATTATATCTTATTACATTATATGTAGATAAATCATTATATACATATAATACAATTCATACATTTTTGGTGATGGGATTTTTTTTTTTTTTTGGTGACAGTGGCGTTGAAGCTGGTTGGGCAAAAAAGCCTTTTCTTTTGTTTGCATTTTAAAATTTGTTTAATAAATTAATTATCATTTTCAAAAACCTGTTAATTTATTCCATTTTAATGGATAATAGTGACTGAACTATTTTACCCTTTTTAAAAAAATTTGGGCTCCATTTCTCCTTTTTAATTTATGTTTTCAAAATTTATTTTTAACAACATATTCTTTCATAAAATAATTTGATTATTCTATTTGTACATCAAATGGCAAAATAACACAGATAATTAAATTACATGCACATGTATTCCATTTCATTATTTTTTAATCGTTAAAATTAATGACAAAAATAGTCTATGTCAGATGCTGTCAACAAAATTGAAAAGTAGAATGTAGCTGTAGCAGCATTGAAATAATTTTACATATAAATCTAAAAAATTTTCTTAACTATATATTCTTCAAAAAAACACAATTTCAAAAAATATTTTTTCCCCTAAAAATATGGATCTGAAACAAATGTCCAGAGACCCTTGGGGGCCATTCTCTTCATGTTTTAGTTTTGTAGTTTTGAATTTTGAATTCATTTTAAGTTTTGTGTTTTGAGTAGTTGTTTTGAAATTGTTGAAAATTCATGTTTTTTGTCATTCTGAAAAATAGTTTCTGGAAACATAAAACTAGAAAATGCGTTTACTTTGAAATTTTGATAATATTTTATTCTAGAAATCTTATTATTCAATAAATTTTAATATTTTAAAGTTAATATAGTATTAAATAACATATAAATTTTAAAGTTGGTGAAAAATGATTTGAGTGTTCATGAAATGTATTAAATAACTTATTTTTAACCATACATTCTTTAATAAAGTGTTAATGAAAACTGGTTTGAGTGTTTATATGAGCCAAATATAGCCTTTGAAGTTCTTAAAACCAATTTTATTTGTAATTATTTTTCATTTCCACTACTAACATAAGTTAAAATTCAATAACATGAAACATGTTCGTGATCAGTAAAACTTGTCTTGATTGAACCTCAAGCGTTCAAATTATTTCAAAAGTCTATAGTCTTTTTTGAGGCAAATAATACATTTGTATGTACAAATGTGAAACAATCCCTTCTATATTGAATTGCACATCACCGATGTATGTAGTCTTATACTTACAATTAAGTATATATTAAAAAAAAAAAATAACATCATTTTCTTCTTATGCTTCAATCATAAAGTTCCATCTTATTTTGTCTCTTATCTGACCCTTGAAATCATCAACTGGATAATGAAGTGCAAGAATCTCATCTATACGTTTCACGGGAGAGCTCAGCATTTCACTGCATCAGGGGTAGCAAGTTACAATGGCCAAAGATTATTCATGGGGTACAACTCAAGGAAAAGGAAGAAGGCACTACCAACACATTCTCCAAAAATTCAATATTGCCAAAGATTATTCAATAAAAAGAAGAAGGCACTACCGACACATTTGAACCATACATTCTCCAAAAATTCACTATTCAAAACAATGTTTTTTCCCAAAAAAGGGCGACCAAACAGGGGCTTAGTAGAAAACAGTATTCATATTGCTTTTTGTTCGATAATCCCTATAATGTTCAAAACCTATTGAACTCTAATATCAAAATTGCAGGTGCTATCAAGCAACAAAGTCTCCTTTTCTTTCTTCTTCCTCAACCTTGGGAAGAATTGTAGAAAGACACTGTTTCGTTAGAGTTAAATTACTTTTAATCTAGAAAAAATTTGAAGTAGCTCGAAGGTAACAATTCTTTTTAAGTTTATGCATTTTATAATATCAGTAAACCAAATATAGCAAAGGATTTCAATAGATAGTCAGGCTTGTCCAATTCTACCTCTATAATTAAAGTAAATACATACCTTGAACAATGTCTTTGCTCCCCAAATAACAAATGTCTCATTGCAGGTGTGGTGCCTATGATTTTCCCTCACGCCTCTACGTCGGATCTCCCCCAAATGAATTGAAGCACAGAAGCTTGCTCCTCCTGTAATGTGACAATTCACTTTGGTGAAAATCACTAGAAAATAGAGATGCTTAAGAACACAGAAAACTTTAGTTGCAAAATATAAGAATTAAATAAAAATCACATAAATCATTTAAAAGGGTGGTGAATGCCCATAATCCTCCTTATGTCCCCTTCTAATGCTTGTGCAGCAACAGATCCGATGAACTAGTATATCCTGTGATCCCTGTGACAGGTTCTTATGTCGTATGCTAGTATTGGAGGGGCTAAAAATAAATTCGAAATACAACTTAGTTTCAGGCTTTCAGTACACCATATTCTTGAATCTATAGCCAGTTATATATTTTTAATTTCTATTGCATGTAAATATAATTGTTTTACGGCCTTAAAAACTCGCTGACTATATATCACCTTATCATTACGTAAAATGCGTGCAGGCACAAACTTTATGTTTCTTTCTCCATATATCGCGGCAAAAGGAGTAAAGTTTCCAAGTTATTTATCTGTACAATACCTAGAAATCAGATTTATAGTTCATATTTAAAACCACAACGTATGATTCAAGATCAATAAGAGTTACAGGATAAAAAAATGGATGTAAGAGTGTTTGTTGATTCATCCACATTTAATTCTCCTTTCATTTTCCTCATTCAACCTGTAATTAAAAAAAAAAAAAGCCTCATTTGCCGAAAAGTATAACAAAAGTGCAAATCTTTTATCATGGCAAAGAAAATTATTTAACTATTAATCCCCTCATATATCATGTGCCAAGTACCTATTGTTGTACCTTACAACGAGAAAATAGTCTCAGATTCCTAAACCTTATGCTTTCACAACACACCTTTCCTTGCATTAATCCTTTAAAAGTCATTTTCCTTTCTTTTCTCTATTATTATCAATTATAGAATTACCAAAAAACAAATACTTGTACCTAAGTATGAACAGGTTTACATTTATTGGCAGGAAAAAGAAATCACAAACTTGGTCTGTCGTGTCAACTTACAAAATAATTGAAAACTCATGGAATAAATTCACAACCTTTTTCCTCCAAAAAACTAGTGCAGCATCACAATGTTGTGCACTACTCACTAAAAGTTGCACCAAGCTCAAGTATTAAGATTTATAGTTTTTTTTTTCACTTTTTCTCCTCCTTGAATAATTTTATGAACAAATGACATTGGGTGGATACTTCTAAATTATAACTTTCTTGACAGAAAAATAAAAATAGACCAAAAAAAAAAAAAAAGAAAAATCCTGAAATGGCAGCATCCAATGCAAGTGAAACAGGATTAATCAACCATCCACCCTCATCCTTCATTACAATTGAAGAAGACAAAGGGAATTTCACTGTATTAGCATCAAAATATTTATCAGAACCGCCATGTAAAGTCACCTTATTGCTATCATACGCCGATTGGTGAAATGAAGAATCGGAAGAATAGTGTTGGAAACTAAGGGCAACCCATGTAAGAAAAAGGGTAAAAAAAAAGAAAGGAAAGAGTATAAATGGAACTGTGTGCGATTTTTTGAGGAAGAATTTCAGTGAATTTAATAGGGTTACTGCAGTTTTTGGGGTTTGCGACTGGAGAACAGGGCTAAGAGACGACTATTTGGGAAGAGAGAAAGGAGACCAAAGAGAGACGGGCTGGAACGAAGTTTCTCTTTCATGTTTCCTGTGTTTTCATAAAAAATTGGGTTTTGTATAAAAAACGTCCAAATTCACATATTGGATTTTCTTCACAATTTTTTGTTTTTTGTTTTCAAAAATTCGATTTTCGAAAATGGAAAAGAGAACGCATTTTCACTGTTTTGAAAAATTGAAAACAAAAAAGGACTTGAAAACAACAAAGAGAACAGGGCCTTAGTGGCTCATGTGGATGGAAACTGTTTGGATGAAATTTGATAATTAGGTTGAGGACAAAAAAAAAAAAAAAAAAAAATTGGGTACTGTACTTTTGGCAAAGCTTAGGCATGAGAGTTATTTTTGGAGTACATAAGAGTGTCCAAATGAACACCCGACAAGGGGCACATTGGGGTACTTGATGATGTACACCAAAAATAATCATAAATATTAAATCAACAATTTACACAAATTAATACAAAGAAATGTTAATTATTTGCTGCTAAGCCCCCTATCATTATTTCAAAATTTCTTTTATAGCAAATTTATTTTTAATCGTACATTCTTGTAATTAAATATTTTGTTCCTAACCTAATTTTTTTTTTCTATGTTTTAATTACACATCTTTTGAAAACTCATTATTTTAAAACTACTTTTTTTTAAAATTAATAAGAAAGATAGACAAACCAACAGGGCTAAATAATAAATGGAATTATTAAAGCAGAATTCTTTAGACTCAGCTCACTTGCATCTTCAGAAATAAGGAAGAGAGAGAGCGAGAGGGTGGGTGGGTGGAGAGAGATTTAATGGCGACCTCGAAATTTCAAGCTCTGTGGAATCACCCTGCTGGCCCTAAAACAAGTCAGTTCTTTCTCTACAATTTAATACATGTATATATGTGATGATACATAAGTGTGTATGTTATATGGTCGATACGAAATTCTCGTTTGATGATTAGATAAACTTACAATGCCACTTATGAGTTTCTTATATTTATATCCAATTCAATAATATTCATAAACTCTATAATCGAATTTAGTTTATTTTGAAATTTTAGTTTTCCATTATCTTAATTTTCAGCGGATATGACTTTTCCTATTTGTTTGTGGGGGTATTTTTTTTTTTTTTTTTTAAATCGGGATAAAAAATTTGGATTTTTGTTTTTTTGATTTTGTTCTAGGTCAGAAATTGGTGGTGCTATTGAGTTTTTGAGGGATTTTATCTATTTTAGACTAAAACTTTAAAAACCAGGAGCTGGAAGTTAGTTGGACGGAAAATAATTGGTAGGACGTTAGAAACAGAAAAATGAAACACTTAGGATGAAGTTTGAAGTATATAATGGTGAATAATAATGATCTAATTATTCAATTTGGATCAATTTTTGAAGAAAATAGAACAAGCAAAAAAAAAAAAAAAAAAAAAAGAAGAAGAAGAAGAAGAAGGGAAAAAGGATTGAAAATCATACAAAAATATGAAGTTGGGGACTAAAGTGCACAAGGATTGAAAGCTGAGGGGTCTTGGATGCAATTTATGAAGAGATGTGATTGAAATGAAAGTCAAAATTTGAGAACTAAATTTTACAAGACAAAGTTGAAGGAAAAATTTTACAAGACAAAGTTGAAGGAATTGATGTGCAATTAAACCAAGGGATTAATTGCAAATCTGGAACCAAAGGGAAGCCCTGCGCCCACGACTAAAACCGGGGCGCACATGATCGGCGCCCAAATTAAACCCCAAGAGCAAAATCTTTAACCTTGCTTTCGGAGTGTAGCGCTCGCAACATTCAAGTGGGGCATTAGCATAGCCAATATTGCTGACTCCACTAAACCACCTGAGAAAGTTTCGTATCCCCAACAGATAGGTATATCCATGTGATGATTTTTTGTACTCTTTATATCCATTCTGGTCTATCTCCTGTGCACAGAAAATAGGATTGATAATTGTTTTGTGTTTAGGTTGTATTGTTATATGTCTGTATATTTGATAAGGTCTTTTAATCAAATATTATTTTTGGCTCAACTATTTATTGTTTCCCCTTTAGTTATGTTGATCATAGAACCAAATTTTTCTTACTTGATATGGTCATGCATCTGCAGCTGTTACAGCCACTGGAGTCATCTGGTCACGCTACAGCACTGTGATTACTCCTGTAAGTTCGACTGTTGATAAAGTACATATATCTTGGCAAGTACATGTTTTATGTAAATATCTTATGTGATGACCCTATGTTCGTTAGATTTTCATCACATTATTATACATATTCTTCAGTGAAAAAAGTTCATTGCTAGGCGATTCTCTTCTTCAACACACAATCTTTCCATTGAATAATTAGATAATGCTGCTATTTATTCCCAAAAACTTGAATATTACACTCTTCCCAGTTAGAATATTGAGCCCCCTTTCCTTGATATTTATCCATTACTTTTTGTTTATTGATTTAGAATTTCTAATCTAGAAAACCCTAAAATTGGAATGAAAAACTGCAATGCTGTAAATAATAATCTGAATTTTGTTACTGAGATGAGATTATAATGTTGTGGAGATCCTATTAAGTTGCAAATTATCCAGTTTACGAAGTTACATAATTTAAATGGATAGCTTCTCCCTCTCTATTATCATGTATAACCTTTTTCTCTGAGTTGTAGCTTCCAGTTGCATCTCATGTAATATCTTTCCTGACTTTGTGCATTATCTTGATCAGATCAGATAAAGTCTCCATATATCCTAAACAGAATCCTACTACTTAATATGGTCAACTGAAGCAGAATGTGAAAGATGTTTTTGATTGTATAACATTTTCTTGGGGAAGCTGAGACGAGATCCATACAAATTTTTTCCTTTTCATTTTTACTTTCTTGTGGTCATGGATATTTTCATTGTCTTCAGAGATACTTGGAATTTTTTACTCCCATATACGACCTGTGACCACCTTGCCTCCAGTGCAGAGAGGCAAATAAATAAGGCTTATTCTAATAAAGGTTTTTTATTCCATTATTTCTAGTCAAATTGACTTGCTATATAGGTCACCTAATATCTTTCAGCTTCTTGCTTCTATTTTTTTCCCTTGGTGTCTGTCCTTGTCTTTGCCTTAATACGAAGTTGTACTTCGCAAATTCTTGATTTTCCTTTGCTCTTAGTCCATCACCGAAGTATGATTCAGAAAGCTGAGTTGATATCCTTATTTGAGATAACAAAAAAGGTTCAACAGTAGCTAATTCATTTTTCCTTTCCTTTGACAATTACTTTTTCTCTGTTGCTTCCTTAGTATGTGGATCCTCCTCTTGACTACCTCAAAGAAGGAAACTAATGAAGAATAAGGAATTCATTTCACCGGGTTCCTCGAGCCAAGTTTCCTAACAAACAGAGCCATCCAAATGGAACTTGTAATAGACGCCACATGCTCTGTAGCCTAATTTGGAATGGTGAGTGGCTGTAAGAACCCTACTGGGCGATCTTGTTATCGCCAGATCAGAGTGTCTGAAGCTAATATTTATAGACACCATATATCTCTATTCAAAGAGTGGGGGATTCAATTTCATGATTATGCTTCTTCAAATGGAAGTTATATTTTCCCAACGGATAGGTTGATTTTTGGGGAAGTAAAAACTTAGAAGAAGGAAGAAAAGTAGAGACCTTGACATGTTAGTAACTTTATGGTCATGGAAAGCATGCATGTCTCATAAATGTTATTTTCTGAAATTCCGTAGGAAAAAGCACAAGCTTAGACGAAGGAATTTCTGTTCACTTATAGCATCTAAGCTCTCATTGATGGGATAGCCTGGGTAGAATGAACAAACTGAAGACCTTGACATGTTAGTATCTTTATGATTTTCGAAAGTATTCGCTTCTCTATATTTATTTATTTATTTTTCTGAAATTTCCTTGGGAAGAAGCAAACTTGGAGAGATGGAAATTTCTATGAAGTTATATCTGGCAATGAGATTGAGGTGTATGTCTTGTCATTTACATTTCAAAGAAATTCTTGAACCAATCTCCTTCTGTCCATGTGTCTCGGGGTGAGTCTATTATTTAGCCTTACTGATCAGTGATCACTTGCTTCCAGTTGAATCTTTCTGCATGATGAACATCTGTGGTGAGCAACAAGGTCTTTTTAGGTATCTGGCCTTGTCATTTAAGAATCTGCGGTCTTCAACTTGGGCTAATGACTTACTCTTTCTAGGCCAGGGTTACGTAGTAAGGGAAAATGAAGAGACAGCAAGTAGTACTTTGCAGTAGACTAGTTGTTTTATGATCATGCAAAATATGCACGTTTGCAATGTTTTCTTTATATTACAAGTTTTAACATTCATGGCATCTTTGGGCACTAGGAAGGATAGCGCTAAACAATAGTATGAAAAAGAAGATCTAATAATACGGCCAAATGTACACTTAAATGTATATGCACTATGCAGAAGCACCAAAGCGCACATGCACGTATAGATGTGGCAGTGAATTGATTTCCCTCCTCTTCTTTATACCCTATTTTATTTCCTTATATTCACAGTTCAGTTGTTTAGTGCTTTTAAAGCTAGATGTCTTACAATTTTCTTTCAATGACTTGGGGGATGTTATGAATTATCAACTGCAGAAAAACTGGAACCTTTTTAGTGTGAATGTTGCAATGGCTGCTACTGGCATCTACCAACTTACACGAAAAATTCGGTAAGTCAGTCGTGTGCTTTTCTAAGCTCCTGTTTGACAACCATAAAAAAGAGATTTATTATTTTTCTTTTTATTTATTTTTTTAGTTTTTTTGGGAGAAAATGAGTTTTAGAATAGTGAAGGGTGGTTAAAAAGTAGGAGAAAGTTTTAGATTTATGTACAAAATATTTTATTGTGAGAATATGTCATTGAAAATGAGTTTGAGAAAAAAAATAGTTTTGTTTTAATGATTGTTGAGCAGGGGATAAGCACTAACGAAAATTTCTGTACATATCAGTGGTGTTGAAAGTGGAAACCCAAGTATTGCTTGTTTACTCATTTATGGTTACTATTGTTGATGATATTCTTAAAATTGCCTGGTTTATGTTACCAGTCACGACTACTTTAGTGAAGAACAAGCTGCAATGGCTAAAGAATGATGACGAAACTCCTCTTTTGATGACCCCGAGTAGGCTACTGTGAAATTCACCTCGTGGACATATTACTTGTGCATGCCCTTGAACGTCATCTTCTTTTTCTCCCTTTCATTTCCATTCCCAATATCAACATTTGTAACTGCTTATCTTGAATAAGAGAATGTCATCATGATATTTTATGAGTGAAAATATGAGTCTTCTAACTTAAATGTCAAGACCAATTGAATATTATGTCCTTATGTATGAACTTTACAGAGAGTGACAACACATCAATGGTAAACAGAAATCTTACGAATTAAAAAATTGGAAATTTGAAGGGAAAATTCTGCATGTACAAAATTTTTGTTCATAGAATCTGGTTAGAACCCTCACTGTGCGTGGGCCCCATGTGTGATATAAACAGCTTGTTTGGGAGCGATTTTTTGCGCCAAAAAATTGATTTTTTTTAATCATTATTTTACTATTTCAGTCGTCATATTTGACTTCTTTTCTCACAGGTGGACCTCACTTTTCTCTTAACGGTCAAAAAATCAATTCTCAAAATCACTTACAAACAGGCTCAAAATGCCAAAAAATCAATCACCCACCCCACCAATGTGTCTTTTCTGTAAAACATATGTGAACAAAAATTCTTTCAAGTGTAGTGCAACTCAGTTTTAAGTCAATTTCATTCTGGGCAAATTTCATCTCAATGTGTCCAATATCAACTACAATTTGTAAAATTTGATATCCCGACATTACAAAAATATCAATTGCCTGTCTCATAATGCAACCAGTATTACCGGAATTCCATGCATGATAATAAGCTACAGCTTGAAGGTATAAATAAACGTCACAATACATCATGTACCGGTAGTACTGAGGTTCATTCTTTCAAACCGGTTGTGGTTGTCTCTCACTTTGATCTGTTTTGGAGTCCGATTCATTATCTCCATTATTCTCATTCAAGCCAAATGTAGTGCTTTCATTCAAATCTTGTCGTTCTTCTGGACTATTATCCGTGGACTGAGAAGAAAGTTCAATCAATAAGAATGAGATCGTAAATAAAATGCATCAAAACTTCTCTAACAGTGAATGATATAACAACGAAAGAGATCAATGAAGTCGATTAACAGTGGCTGTGCTCGATAACAAGCCAACTATCCTCTTGCATACCACCCGTTTCTCCCCAAGATGGATTTAGTATGAAGTTCAAAGCATGAAGAATGGACCAGGAGGATGAACAAAATATCTAAGAAGCACCCAGTAAACAGGCAATTGCCTGAGATAAATATCCGTGCCACCCTTAAAGAAAAATAAGATGGAAAATGACGCTCCCATTCATTGAAAAGGATAATTTGCACTCTATATTGAAGAAGTTGGGCTTTTGGAACTCTTCTACAATAAGACTGAAAATACATGAACAAAAACAGAACCCGGGAGAATATGCAAAATAACACGCCTTATTTTCATCCGTAGGGACATCATTGATGTCTGGCTTTTCATCAAACCTGTCACTCTTAGAGGTTACCTCTTCTGCGTTTGCATCAAACTCAATTGGTTTAGCTTCGTCTTCGACTTGTTCTGACAACTCATTTTTTTGTTCCTCCAGCACAGCAATCTATTCCAATAGTACCCAAAAAAGGGGTAAAACATTACTCAATTAGTGGAACTATCCTCAGCAAAATCGCAATACAGAACACCCAATGCAAAGAACAAAAGGAACTTTCCAGGTTTTTTTTTTTTTTTTGTCATTTTCTAAAGATTATTTCCATATGTTGATGTAGGAATGGATGTAACAAAGTATCGTCTTAGAATAACAAATAAAAAAATAATTAGCTTTGTACTTATATGAGGATTCAAGCTGTCTGTCTACTTATATGCAACACTAGGTTTAACAACCCACTGTCATTCTGCTAATTCAGCATCGAAATCGATTGAAAATCAACAAAATCAAAAGCAGCAATAAGGAAAGATGTCAAGAAAACAAACGAACCATGATGATGATACTTTAAAATTGCACATACATGCATTAGAAAATCTAAAATACAAAGAAAGTAAGATTTGAGTAAAGAGACATCTACACAATCACGCAAATCCAAGTAAGCACATTAGTGAAGTGAGGACATTTAGATTCAAAGATATATCTTGGTAACATGAGACACTGACAAAAGTGAATAAAGTTATCGTGCCACTTCCCAACAAGTGAGATAAGCTTTAACTGAATCATTTTAGGAAAATCCATCACATCTATTTCATTTCTTTCACTTCGCCTATGCTTCCTTTTCCTTTATTTAAGTGGAGGCTCTCTACAAACAGCAGGGAGAATATACATAAACGATGAATACGGATAGTTTACAGCCACTGCAGAGTGCTCAAATCTTGCCATGCCTACATATGTAGACATGTAGGGAAATAAGGTCAAATATCAAACAAGAGATCAGTCCAATTCAAACGGATTAATAAATGTAGGGTAAATTTCGGAGAGAATAACATATTACAAATTCATAGGTCAATGAGTAATTAGCAGCAGAAGGGATGAAATGCAGCTTGTTCATATACTAACAAGAAAGAACATTTTTGTGAGGATCCAGCAGCATCCCAATTTCAACTCAGTCATAGAAGTTTCAGTTTGATCACACCATTACCTCCATATTTCGCTCAGTTTGCACTTTAGTCCATCTCTAAATAAGTGGGTTTTGGCAATAACAAGAAAAGGCCCTTTAGTGAAACTGGCCAAGCGGTAGTTCCATTTCAATTGGAAAATGCAGCCAGATGTTTGGGGCAAACGAATTAGCTCTTTCAAGCTCCCTTTCTAGAAGATAAAGCTAGAATGTCTTTCATAAATAAAAGTAAAAGGTTTTTTGAAGCTTAACAGACCGATTTCGGATTTTCAGAAACTTCATGCCAATAACCGAAATAATTTAGGCATTATTACTTAAAATGCAGAGCAATGTTAAAATCCAAAGTTTGTGTTATACTTCTAGTACAAACCAAAACAGATTATTTCTTTGAGTCTACAAGGAGAAACATTGAGCTTCTCTCTCCCCTCAACTCTCTCTAGAGATCTACGACCCTCGTGCTTATGAAGAAAAGATAAAACCAGTCCTCAAAGCTGGAATGAGAGTTTCTCAGCTGATAACCATCAATAATGCAAAGCAAAACTAGGATAATAAGGAGTCACGACTGAAGATGACTTAGTCACCACTTTGAAGAAGCAAGCTAGTCTATGTTGCAGATATATTTATCAAAATTTCAAGAACTATATTTTCCTATGTGTATCATCACCAACTTGAAGAAGCAAGCTAGTCTATGTTGCAGATATATTTATCAAAATTTCAAGAACTATATTTTCCTATGTGTATCATCACCAACTAAAAACTCCCAAGAAAATACAATGATATGAATATAAATCAAGATCTAATTGTAGAAAGAATAAAAAGTTGCAGATAACTCTTTTTTTAACTTGGAATCCCGATTACTAATTAAGAAGTCTCTATCAACAAGATAAAAGAGTGAATTCTTCCTTTCGTGAAATTAGGCAAATGAAATGAATTTTGTCTCATATCTTATGTATATAATCAAGTAGAGAAAAGATAGATATATAGTTTTTAACCTTTCTCTATCTCCCGAAAATAATGCCACAGAAGTTATCAAGAAAGAGACACAAAGACTTTTATCCTACATTTAACCAAAACATCTAATCAATTATATTTCCTCTCTAATTGCAAATAAACCGTACACATCATTTTCATTTTTTGGTGTGGGGTGGGCCGAATCTTTCCCCCTAAATAACTAAATTCTTTACCATTTCGCCCTTAAATTTTCTAGCAGGACCTTCATGAAAATTAGATTTCATCTCACACCCATACTTTTCAAAGTCACAGATTTCAATTTCTTGGAGCCAAGTTCACATTTTTCAAATGCTCTAGTCAAATGTTTTTAATTTCTTTCGACTCCGAAATTCCCATCTTCTATTTTTTAAACACAAAGACCATTATCCATTGCAAATTTCAGATTCGAGGACTCTATACCACAGTTCACCTTAAAATAAAATTTTGCAGGACCCCCAACCCAATTCAATTCCCGAACAGTTTACAGTCAACGTTCACAAACCCATAGCCAACCCTAACATGCATAAACGCACAAAATGAGAATTTAAATTCGCAGAGAAGTACCGGAATATACTTAAATTTACGCTTGGGTGGCTCCTCTACTGCAAAGGAGTCTACTTTATCGGAATTCTTTGAGTCACCGTTACTACTAACATTATTATTGCCATTGTTACTATCACCACCGTTATTGTCTTTATTTTGGCTGGGCGTTATCACCGTCCACTTGTAGAACAAGAGATGTGAGGAGCCATTAGCGTTTCCGTTTGGGGTTTGATGGTCGTGGTTGTTGGAATTGAACGCCGACGCGTGGACCCACTTCTTCTTCCACTTGCGGACCGGCCCAGTGAAGACGGTGGTTGGCCCGTATCGAGTAGACGACCGCCCGAGTCTGGCTCCTACTCCCTCCATTGTTTGAGAAAAACCGGATTTGAGGCGGCTGCCGGCGTTTTTTCTGACTCTTTTATAGTCTTCAGGGGAATTATGCGATGATCTGAAGCGGTGTCGTATGTTGAATTCTCTCTCACAAAGACGTGTGTTATCTCGTGCTCCCACTTGATGCGAGCTGGTAATTGTGCAATTATTACAAAAGTAAAAAAAAAAAAAAAAAAAAAAAAAAAAAAAAAAAAGAGGAAAAATTGCACCAATGGTCTCCAAGCTATCGTCTTTGTGGCAAGTTGATCTTTCACTTTCAGAAAAAAGAAAAAGAAAAGTTAGTCACCAACCTTTTATCATAATTGCATTCATCCCCAGCCGTGTAATGGTTTAAAGAAAAGCCATGATCACACAACAACACTCATATATGTATGCTATGACCTGATATATACAAATTTTAAAAACTTATGCCGTCTTTGTTTGGTGTAGATTAAAAATTTGATAAAAATTTAAGTCAAAATTAATAATTAATTTTAATTACACACATTTCATAGAATCTATAATTTTATAATTATACATTTCATTAACTTTCATCAAAATTTATTAAAAAATTTTTTTTTAGCTACATCAAATATCTCTAAATTTACCAATATTTCCGTAAAATTAAAATAAAAGTTTTGGGCTTGAGCATTCAGAGGGACAATGAAGCCTGGATAAGGCCCAGTAGTGAATGAAAACCCTAACAATATATAAACCAGCCACCATACGCTAAGATTTACACCTGCAGTCTTTCAATTTCCTCGTCCTCCTCCTCGTCCTCGTCCTCCTCCTCCTCCTCCTCGTCCTTCTTTTATAACTACAAATACAAATCCAAATCTATTCGTGAATTTCATTTGATTATGAATTTCTCTTATTTTTTGTATGTTACTAAACGGGGCTACATGTACTCCAAGAAAGGGTTGAATACTGAATACCCTTAGTTCTTGATCTGCCAATGCGGCTGTAGCCATAGCAATAATTTTTGAGAAGTTTACTGGCCGGTTGTTGTTTCTTTTCATCGACAAATCTGCTTACCGAACTTTTCACATTTTTCTCCAGTTTTTATTTTGGTTCAATTTGATCGGGTATGTATAGGAGAATGGAAGTAGAATGAAACGGCAGAGGTTTTAGCCGTTTTAAGAGACCATTCTCCGAAATCAATCAATGAATTACCATTGATTGCACTTTCCGGGCTCACTGCATAGAGTTTCAAGCAGTATGCGTCTATAGGTGCATAAATCATTTCTCACAGCTAGATTAATTTCTGTGAATTTTTTAGAAGGTTAAATATTTATGTTTATTTTTTTTTTTGTAAAAAAAATGATTAAATAAAAAATTGAACATATGAATTTATTTATCTATATTTTATCTTCCAAAATATGTGAAATTATTAAAGTTGTTCTTTGTTTTTAAATAAGTTTTTATTATTTTTTATTTTTAAAATCTATTATTCTTTATATATATAGGATATTTCTCCTTGCACAGGGGGTCCACCCCCCTCTCACACCCTGTACACAGGACCTGTGCAAATAGCACAGCCCATATATATAACGTAAAGTTTTCCTTCGAAAAAAGCTCCGGCTACCCTACTTGTACGGGGCTTGTACAGAGTCGTACACATAGGGGTGAATTCCACCTCCCATGTGACAGCCTTGTTCAGAAAAAGCTCCACTTTCATGTGGGTGTCCTTGTACATGGGGTCCACCTCTCACGTGACAGCGTTGTTCAGAGAAAGCTCCACCTTCATGTGGGTGACTTTGTACAGGTCCTGTGCAAATTGAGCTGTGTAGGTAGCATAGCTGTTTTTGTTTTATATATTTTTTAAATTAGTGAAAAATGTAAAGAAAGTTACTTATGGTGAAACGTTATATGAAATTAAGTAGTAAACATTATTTGAAATTGAATAGTCATCATGAAATAAAATCAAATTTGATGGTCATAGTGACAATAAATATAAAGTTGGGTGGTCATAGTAAAATAAAATCAAATTTAGTGATTATGACATTAAATATAAAGTATGATGGTCATGATAAAATAAAATTAGATTATCATGATGATAATAAGGTCTCGTTCGGTCCTCATTAAGTTCTTGTTTGATCTCCATTACTTGAAAATGAAAATGGGGAGAATAGTATTTTTTAAAAAAATGAGTAGTAAAAAAAATAAAAAGTTTTTCGATTTACGTGTAATATTATTTTATGAAAGATTGTATGGTTAAAAATAAGAGAGAAAAATAAAATGTAATATAATTGAATTTAATGGGGATCAAACGAGGGCTAAATTACATTCTATTTTTTTTTTCAATCATACAATTTTCTATAAAAATAATATTACATTTAAATCAAAAAATTTTCCTTTTCTTTTTTTCAATCACTCATTTTTCAAAAAAAATATTATTTCACTCATTTTTATTATCAAGAAATGGGGGCCAAACAAGGACTAAATATAAAGTTGGATGATAATTGTTTGACTTAAACCTAAATTGATGGTCGGATTTATTTTCAGGTACACATGCTATGAACGTAGAGTGATGCTACAGTTACATAATAGGCCCCTGCTAGGAAAGTCATCCCACAATGATTTTTTTTGTGAATATAGTTGGCCCTTCCACACAGTGAGGGACATGTAAAGCCGCCGTCAAAGAATGTCCTCATTGAAGTATACAATTTTGACACAATTGGAGTATGGAGGCCATTAAATAAAGGCGGTAGTTAGATCATATTTTATTGGTCGAGTAGCAACCTGGTAGTCAATCTTAAAAAATGAGCAAATTAATCTTTAAACTTTTATTAACTCACTTTTGTTGATGCAGAGACACATTGTAAACTAACAAGGTTGACCAAGTTCATTGACCATAAAATTTCTCTTTTACATTATCACACAAATTATTGGATACATATATTTAGGGGAAAATCTTTCTCGAGTTGCATGTGACTTAGGGCTGTACAAAAAAAATTGCAAATCGAATTGAAATCATTGATTTGAAACCGTTGGTTTGAGTCAATGTGGATCCATGATTTTTATTCCCTCAAATCGAGTCAAATCGTTTTAAAATGATTTAGTTTATGTTTCGATTTTCAAAAATCGCATAAAATCGAATCGAAATATTTTCAAAATTTTTAATTATATATATCAATTCAACAATACAAATTATAATTAGCACAATGAAATAATCATAGAAAGTAAATTAGGTTTATCATTATTGACCATGATTTAACAAGTTTACAATACATGTCTCCACCCTATATCCAAGCTAAATAAAAATTATTTCTAAATTATATGAAATGTAAAAGGAGGGAAAACATAAATTTTCGATAATCCAAATAATAATTCAACAAAACTATGGTAGCAAATCACGTCCAAAACTTCAAAAACCCTAACATTAACTTTCATTTTTGAAACATTTGACATTTGTCTATCACTGTTGAACGTCAGCCGCCTTTTGCTCATTAGTCTTTTAATTTCTACATGAATCGCCTCTTTTCGTTTTCTCTCGGTAAGTCTCAAATTTTCATTCAAACTATTTTCCCATTATTATTTCTTTTATTTGTTGTTTTTGAACTTATTATATATTTATGAATTGTGATTTGGATAGAAAAATGACTCTTTGTGTTCTTACATGGTTAATGAACTTGTTTTTTTATTTAAGAAGAACGAAGGACAATGTATTGATTGTGTGAAAATGTTAAATTTCTACTTTTATAAAGTAGTTAGAAAATGAAATTCGTCAATCCATAATAAGCCTAAACTCTATCAATTTTTATATATCTAAACTTATTATGTTCAATTCTTATATAACATTTCACTAACAAGACGGAAATAGTTTTAACCAAACTATAATATCAGAACGTGATTCTACCTTTACCAATCGCTATGTGATAATATGAAGAAAATGTAAATAAAAATGAAAAAAAAAATGTATTTGTTCTATTAACATATTTTAGTAACTAACTTTGAAAATATTTTATTCATGTGTTTCATGGTAAACATGAATGTAATTTAACATTTAACATTATTATATTAACTTATTTTAAATACATTATAGGTAAACTGCGGATTAAAATCGAATCAAATTGCAAATTATGGTTTGGTTTGTTTGGTTCGAAAAATAAAATGGTTTAGTTTGGTTTGGAAAAAATTCAAATCGTATAAAATTGTTTGAGTTGAAAATATAGCACATACCTCCCAAATTGAATCGCATTCACCCCTAATGTGACCTTGTTTACGGATAGATGCATTTGAATACTACTGGATAACTTCACAATTAAATTTGATCTTTTAACAACCTATAAATAAAAAGAAAATTCTCAGTCTCTTGTTGAATTCATGGCTAAGTTCAGGTCAGGTGTCTATGTACAATCGATATTGAGTATTACAGTACTCTCCAGCTTCCTCCAATTTCAAATGAAGTCGTGTTACTTCATACAATTTATATTGAAAGTGAAGTGCTGGCCCAGCCATTTAAAACGTGGTAGTGTACGCTAGAAGTTAGAAGAAGGAAGTTAATGTACTAGTAATATTCGAATTTGAAAATTCAAAATAAGAGATATGCAATGAATTCCGATGATTCAAATTAATATTCGATTTTGACTAAATTTATAAATCAATGTATAAATTATATTTAAAGAAATTGTAAGATAATTAAAAATATCGATCGACGAAAAAAGATCCAACTAACTTTCTTGGTCAAGATTGTAAAAAGAGCTCTAGAGTGATGAATGATTTTAAGTTTTTAACCAACTCGTCTTTTTGTGCGCATATGCTATCCATTTGATTTACTAACACGAATGAGACCTTTACATGATTGGATATCAATTGTCATGTTTCGATAGATACTAACAACTACAAAGAAAAAGAATTTCACGCTATGACTTTGAGCAAGGAGTAACATGATCGAGAGAAAAAATTTAGTGCTCTCGAACTATTGGACTTAGTACTCTCTGCCACTGTTATTTGGCATGTGCATTATTCATCAATAATAATCTCAATTACATAGTAGGTTCCAACTATTAATATACGCGTGAGCTAAAGACCAAACTACATAGCCCGCGCGGGTGACTGCATGATTGACATAATACACATACATGCGGGGTCAGGATTATTTTATTCATGGGGGATTCACATCGGCCATGTGAGGGTGCGGTCACCCGAAGTGTCAACGGTGCAGATCGTTTGGCTTTTTCCATATGCATGTAGCTTGGAATAAAATGCCCATACAGATTGAGCCAAACATACTATGGAGATTACAGATATGATGGGTGTGGGTATATATATGCTGCGGGTTCTTATCTGCGCAATTTCTCATATGGGTTCTTGTTTTTAAAAGGCTACAATCATTTCTGGGCCTCTGGCCACAGCCAAGGTTTCTGTTGGTCAAAAACCGAGAGAGAGAGAGGAAAAGGAAAAGACAAGAACAAGAGCAAAGCAAAAGAACAGCAGCCAAAGTTTTAAACAGAACAGTATAGCAAAATAGCATTACACTCCAAAATAACTGTTACAATTACCAATTTTCCTTGTCTTAATAATCAATATTATGCAATAATCCTTTTTTTTTTTTTCCCCCAATCATCTTCACAATGCAAATCACAACGATTGACATAAACTCGAAACAAAAGATGGAATACATTCTTGGGGTGGGGTGTGGGCAAAGAAACAACACTTCAAACATTCTCAATTTTTTGTGGATTGCCATTCTTTTCTGATGTCGAATGTATAAGTCATCCCCAAGTAGCACCTGTTATCGTCGTCAAGGAACTGTGCAGAGAAAAGAGGAGAGATCAAGGATATTAATATGCTATTTTGGCATATGTTAAATGAAGAAATGTGCGAGGAAGAGAGATTTTTTCACATCCTAATAAGTTTGGACTACAAGTAGAAATAATTAGAGTTCCTGTACCCCCTAAAATTCTAGGAATTCGTTGACAGGTGAAGAGAATTCATGTCTGGGGCTATTCCTTACCCAGAACAATTAAGAGAAGCTGTCCCTCTGTATTTTGATGAGAAATTGTAACAAGTGAAAACGTTTCATTTGTTAATCATCTGCTGATGCAAAATAAATGCGTTGTACATGGAAAAGATAGGGAAAAGGTAATATTTACCTGTGTTTTAGCTGAATATGATCCTCTCGCAAAGATGCCAGAAGGGGTTGTCTCGTCCGGCATTTCATGAGTGTAAGGCTCAGATTGAGGACAGAAAGTTCCGATCATTTCTCTCGTGTTGTCAACTGATGACAAGATTTGTACAAATAAAGAATTTTAGTCATAAGAAACTCAAAATATCTGATTGTTGGATATTAACATATTAACATACAGAAGTAGAGGGTAAACAACCTTTGATGCCAGATTTCCAAACCGTGTTCCTGTACCTGAGGCCTGACACAATGTTGTTGCTAACCTGGAAAGTGAATTTAAGGCTGTATCGACTTCCCTCTTTCAATGTAAACCACGGGCCTTTTGGGTTTCCAGCCTCGGGGACTAGAAGAAAAATATCAGGCCTACCGGGGGATTTTATTGCCAGGCTCAATATCTGAACTTCTGGATCAAGAGTTTCTATAATTCCACAGTGAGTTAAAAACGTCAAAACACAAATATCGGAGCTACTATTCGAATCTCCTTATTATTTATCTACGATGGATCAATATCAATGAAAAACTTTAACAAGAAAATAATTACCTTCTGCAGAATTGATATCCACACTTCCAAGAAGTTGTTCTTTCCACCTTCTCAAACTCTCATCCTCCTATAATTGAATTTTCCAAATATCAGCAGAAATAAAAGAAGAAAAAATGGACATTCCCAGGAAATAACGAACCTTATCCTTCTCCGATAGCTCTTTGAGAGTGCACTTAGGACCCAGCTGGATTTTCCCTTCTAAATCTTCATCATCTTCATCCTCAGTTTCAGGCTCCACCACAGGGACGACATGATCCGAACCTGTTACATTGGTTTCAGAAACAGGGGTGCCCTCTTTGTCATCAACCTTATTTTCGTCAAACCCCATGTTCTTGGAAGTTGAAGCCAGTCCAACAGCCGAAGACATCAACAATTACAGTACATTCGGGAATTAAAAAGACCCCTTCTTCCTTCTCAGTTCTCTCTGAAAAAGAATGATGAAACTAAAAGGAACGCGGATATCAAGAAAAGCAAGGAAAATCAAGAAGAATCTGTTTTATATTTAAAGAAACACAAATGGGTAAACTATATATATATTTTTTAAGTTAAAGAATCCAAGAAGGATAATGAAATACCAAAGGGAAAAGGGAAAGACGCAGTAGATACCGAAAAAGAAGAGAGTCGTGGAGAATTTGAGGGAATAGAAAGAAATGGTCATGCGGTGATCCGGGCCTGTGAATTTATATATTGTGTGAGTGGAGATCACATTGGTTTGACCGTTTCTGATTAGTTAATCATTAGATGAACATAGAGGCACGCACTTTCAAGTTTCACCTTATTATTCCCACTCCTTTATAACCGTTACACACAGATGACCCACAGTTGGTCCGTTGCTTACGATTCACGTGATTAAACGTTTATTCGATTTTTAAAAAAACGTAGAGTGTGATTAAACAATAAGGTCAAGTTCTAAACTCTTTCGTCTGGACATAAAAAATATAAAATTCGACTAAATAACGAGATCAAACTTCGCATTTAGGTGAACCTTAGACAAAGCCTAGACGAGTATTTTAGAACAATACATTTATGTATGTATGTTAAATTAGACTGAAGTCAAAATACCCTTTTTATTTCCTAATGCATATTTTTCGAATGTCGACTTGAATTATTGATGACAAAATAAGGCAGCTGGAAGTGACTAAATAGTCGGTGATTGAAGAGTTAATTGTTCCAATTGTCACTGACCTTTAGTCCATGTCTTTGATTGGTCACTGAAATTTAAAATGTCGAATTTTGGTCACTGAACTTAAGTCAATGTCTACGATTGCTCACTGAACTTAGACCCATGTCTTAAATTGCTCACTAAAATTTAAAATGTTGAGTTTTGACCACTGAACTTTAAAATATGTCGTACATTACTAACTAACATAATTGTTGAATTTTAAAAAATATTGAGTTTACATTGAGTAATGTACAGCATTTTTCAAATTTCAATAGTCAAAACTCGACATTTTAAATTTCAGTGAGTAATCGAAAATATGGATCTAAGTTTAGTGACCAAAACTTGACATTTTAAATTTCAGTGACCAATCAAAGCTATGAACCTAAGTTAAGTGACCATTGGAAAAATTAACTCGTGATCGAAGCTTGCAAAATTTAATTACTAGCTGCATTTTTGTTCCTAGTAACGCTCGAATATTGCATCAGAACTTTATGTAAAAGATTTTTACCAAAAAATAATGATTTAATTGCTATTTGAGAAGTATGTGATTCTTTCTACCATCTGAAAAGTTACATTAAGGTGTTTCGAATATTTACTTTGCTTTTGAATTATTGTTAAAATCATAGTAATTTTTAACGAAAACTGAGGAGTGTTGAGTATTTATTATTATTATTATTATTATTATTATTATTATTATTATTATTATTATTATTATTATTATTATTATTATTATTATTTGTTTAAATACATTGAATAGTTTATGTTTGCATATTCTTATTTCTTTATCAGGAAATGATCGAAATAATGATTTGGACCCATCGGAATTATTTCCATTCCATTTCAGTCTAACCGCTAGTATATTTCGTAGGTTTTTTAATTATGACGCATGATTAATTAATGCTGTTTGCTGGTGTTTTTAATGATGATTTATTAATTAATAGATAAACATAATCAGAGAGTAAGGTGGGATGTAAGTTCAGGTCGAAAATTTGTTAAAAATTTCGACGACATAGTTTATATAGCTAATAGCATCTTTCCATTCCCGTTTTACTTGTCACGTGTACATATGGTTGCATTGGAGATGCACTAATGACCTCAAAAATGTATGAAATAGCTATAGTGGTATCAACAGGTGTGGTCAACAAATGGGGTTGGCTCGACTGCACCCTATTTTTAAGTGAAAGATTTCTTCGAGCAAGATCGTGGGACATTGAGTGCAGGTTAAAGTTAAATCTAATTTGAATTTTGGAATTTTTAACGACAATTGGGCTTGACCACTTGTATTCAACACTCGCTTGTCTATGCAAACATTTAAAGGGCGCCACATCAGATTTGAAGTTACTTTCACTAACAAAATGATCAACGTTTGGACTTTTGATTATTTTTTTTGTGACTAAATGAGTTAGATAAAACACTTTTAAGAACCTACTTAAATTTTGAATAAATAAATCTAAGAATGTGTTTGATTGACATGGAAAATATCACATAGAAAAGAAAATATTTTCCATCTTTTGTGGAAAATAAAAACCATCTCTACTCAAGAAAAATATTTTCCTTAAAATCAAGGAAAATTAGGCATATTTTCAAAAGTTGAAAAATGTTTTCCATGGGAAAAAAATAGCAGTCAAGCACTTCAAGTAAAAATTTGGATGAAAAATTGATATTTTCCATAGAAAATAAATGTAATCGAACACACCCTAAGTGTCCATTTGTGAAAATAACTTCACAACTATTTTTTCGCATGGCAAGAGAATTCAATCAATTAACCATCTTGGCATTTTACGAGCGATATAAGATTGAATGTTACTTCTACTAACTAAGCGACTATTAATTAGTTTGAACAACTAAAATTATCAGAAAAACACTCTAAGGACCATCCTAAAGTTTTGCACAAAGTTCAATGATAATTTGGGAAATTAACTCCAAGAGCTAACTTATCCCTAACCATTAAAGCACCAAGTATGGCTTAAGCGCCCAAAATTTAAAGATGTGGAAATTGCACCCAATCAGATCTTCTTAGATCCAACTTCAAAAGTTTGATCTAAAGTTTATTTAATCAAAATCATAAATTACTTTCAATATTATAAATCAATATTTTAATATTATACACCCATTAATAACCTTAAATTATTTTCTCTTTCATCTCCTCTTATTCTCTCTTTACTCCTATCTCTCTACCCTCTCTCAAACGTTGTCATCGTTGAAGACCATCTCTGAGTGCCACTGCCTAGCTTCATCGTTGTTATCGCTGCTACAACTTGATAGGGGCTCTATGGTGCAGCGTTGACAGGGTGAAGCTAGGGACTTCGGCTGTTGGTGAAGTGGTGATTGTTGCTGGTGGTGGTGGATTTAGTGATGGTGGTGAGATATTGGTTTTGGTTTTGGTTTTGGTTTTGTACACTTATTCGGGGCTCTAAAATAGCGATATTTAATAGTATTTTGATAAAATATATCCTAAATTGTTGTTTTTATATTTAATAGGTGGATTTCTATGAATGAAAAGGAAATGAAGGAAAGGAGCAAAAACGGGCGAAAATGGCAAAATGTAAAGTACGTGGAATAAAATTGGCCATTGGATGAAAGTTGGGGATTAAACTTCACACTTTGAAAATTAAAGGAATTGAAGATAAATAATGCATTGGTGGGCTTTTAAATATGGAGTTTAAATGGAATTGAAATTCTAGTACGAAAGAAGTTGGAAGGAAATTAAATTGGACTTTAGACCAATGGAATGAGAAGTGAGTTCAAAAGTAATAGGGTTGAAATACGATATGCAGGAAAAAAGAATTGTTTAATTACAATTGAAGGATGGCACTAAATAGCCACTGTACAAAATCTTTACAAAAGGAAAAATAACATATACATGGAAACTAATTAAATATATCAATCCTAGTGTAATATATACATACAACCGGGAATGGAAAAATCAATCAAGCCTAAGAATGGAAATAATAATTTTGTTAATCTTCAACACTCCCCCTCAAGTTGGTGCATAGATATCACACATGCCCAACTTGTCGAGAATATTATTAAATGCTTGGCTTGGTAATGCTTTAGTGAGCACATCTACAAGCTGGTCTTGTGATCGGACATGGGGCACTTCAATAATCTTTGCCTCTAATTTTTCCTTGATGAAGTGTCGATCAACTTCAACGTGTTTGGTTCGATCATGTTGGACCGAATTGTGAGCAATATCACATGCTGCCTTGTTTTCACAATATAACTTCATAGGGCGAATTTGCTCAATACATAAATCCTGCATCAAGTTTCTTATCCACAATAACTCACATATTGCTTTTGCCATTCCTCTGTATTCAGACTCAGCACTAGAGAAGGCCACTACATTCTGTTTCTTGCTACGCCAAGTAACTAGGTTTCCACCTACGAATGTGAAATACCCAGATGTAGAACGTCTTTTTTCAATTGACCCAGCCTAGTCTGCATCGGTGTACCCTTCAATATCCAAGTTATCTCCTTTGGTAAAAATGATACCCTTCCCAGGAGACGATTTCAAGTAGCGCAAGATGCGAGTGACTGCATTCATATGCTCTTCACTTGGAGAGTGCATAAACTGACTGACAACACTTAACGCGTAAGCCAAATTAGGACGCGTATGTGCAAGATATATTAAACCTCCCAACTAATCTCTGATAGCATTCCTTATTGGTAGGAATTTGGTTGGGATATATTCCTAGTTTCAAATTCTCTTCCATAGGCGTGTAAACTGGGCTACATGCTGTCATACCCGTTTCCTTCAATAAATCCAAGGTATATTTTCGTTGGGATAGAAATATTCCTTTCTTTGATCTGGACACTTCAATCCCAAGAAAGTATTTCAGCTGACCGAGATCTTTCATTTCGAACTCACGAGAGAGGTAGTTCTGCAGTGCCTTCTTTTCCTCCGAATCATTTCCCGTTACTATCATATCATCAACATACACGATCAAAGCAGTGATCCTTCCTTTGTTATGTTTCAAGAATAGAGTATGATCTGAATTGTTTTGTTTGTATCCAAAAGCCTTCATAGCCCCCTATAAATCTTCCAAACCACGCTCTAGGGGACTGCTTCAAGCCGTATAGGGCCTTTTTCAGTTTACAAACTGGTCTGCAAGCTTTAGTTTGTACATTACATCCAGGGGGTAATTCCATATATACTTCTTCCTGTAGTTCTCCATGCGGAAAAGTATTTTTTACATCAAATTGGTGTAGGGGCCAGTCCAAATTCGCGGCAAAAGACCGAAGGATGCGGACAGTGTTGATTTTGGCTACTGGTGCAAATGTCTCCATATAATCAATTCCATATGTTTGTGTGTATCCTTTGGCGACAAGTCTTGCTTTGAAGCATTCAACTGTGCCATCTGCTTTATGTTTAATGGTGTAGACCCAACGGCATCCAACTGGCCTTTTTTCGTTAGGTAAGTCAACAACTTCCCATATTGAATTCTTTTGGAGGGACCTCATTTCTTCATTCATTGCTTCCTTCCATCTAAGAT